TGCATGGGCTTCCCGGGCGGCTGGGGCCCAGGCTTCCCCTGCCGCTGTTCCTCAGAGCTCGGAAGGGCCTGGGCTGGCCTGGGGACCCCTGGCCACTGCAGCTCGAGGTCCCTCCCAGGGGAAAAGCCCACGTCCTGCTGGGCTCGCTATGGGTGAGGGCTTCAGAGAGGGGCGGTCGGGAGAACGAGCACCCAGAGGCTGGGTTAGCGCTGCTGCTCTAGTCCCAGGATGGGATCCAGGGTCTTCCCACCGAGCTCCACCTCAGCCCTTTTATCTTTTCTTTTCCTTCCTTCCTTCCTTCCTTCCTTCCTTCCTTCCTTCCTTCCTAACTTCCTTCCTTCCTTCCGTTTGAGACACAATCTGCTAAACTGACCAGCTTGGGTTTGAACTGGAGACCCTCCTGCCTCAGCCTCCTAGAGTGCTGGGATGCCAGCCGCACAGGCGGCTGTGCACTGCTCTCACCCTCTTTAGGTCTAGAGCAGTGTGCGGGAAGGAAGTGCAGCCGTGAGGCCGCTGCCGGCAGAGGACTGGGCTCCAGGGCCTGGTGGCCCGGGGCTTTTTCTGGCCTGGCCTGGGGACCACATCTGGGTCCACCGCCTGCTGTGGGGAGTAGAGACTCCGCTCACAGGGACCAGGGCGCGGGGGCTCCTCAAAGCCGGCTCCTGTTCTGAGGACAATTGGGGGTGGGACAGAAAAGGCCCCCAAATCTGCACTCTGCCCACTAGCCAGCGGGCCGCCCTGAGGGATGATCAGGTGGAGCCAGGGCTGGGCTAGGCAGGGCCGGGCCGGGGTGGGGCCAGGTCAGGGCCAGGTGGCCCTGTGGGCTCAGGGCAGCTTCCGGTGAAAGGTTATCAGCCAGGCTTTGATGAGGACGGGTCAGGGACCCAGCCTGTCAGCACGGTGTGGTGTCACTACGCCCACGGGGACAGCTTAGCAGGCCCGTGGCCCTGGAGCTCTGCCAAGGGTGGGAGGTGAAAGGGGAGGAGCAGCAGGCACAAAGGTCCTGTGGTGGCCTGACACAGTGACACACAACCTGCAATCCTAGCACCCAGGAGGCTGAGGCAGGAAGATTGATGCGAGTTTGAGGGTACCCTGGGCTACACAGTGAGTTCAAGGCCAGCCTAGTGAGACCCTGTCTCAAAAACAAAAACAAAAACAATCCCCTAATAACGGTAATAATAAATCTGCATAGAAAATGATCACCAGGGGGCGCACGGAGAGCAGGGCGGCTTCAGCCACGCAGGAGGCTGCTGCTGGAACGCTGATCCCAGGAGTGCGCCCAGGGCAGGAGCCAGCAGGGGAGCTGGTGTTTCAGGGGGAGCCGCTCAGTAACCCCAGACTCAGCCCAGCGGGGGCGGCAGGTCAGCAGACTGCCAGGAGGACTTGAAGTGGGAAATTGCTACTTTTTTTTTTTTTCAATATGGTCTCACTTTGTAGCCCGGCCTGGCCTGGAACTCCAGAGATCCTCCTGCCTCAGCCTCCCGACTGCTGGGCTCACAGGTGCTCTTCATCACGCCCGGTTGTTTTTTGTTTTTATGTTTTGGGGTTTTTTTAGGAAACCCCAGCACCTGGCACATGTCAGGCAAAGCTGCACCCCAGCTCTTTTAGCATTTATTTTTACTTTGAGATAAGGCGGCACGGCACAGCCCCAGTCTCCTGAGGAGCCGGGGCAGCAGGTGTGTGCCACCATGCCCGGCCCTTTCCTTGGAAAGGAGCTGATAGCTTGTGTATGTTTAAACTGTTACAGGGCTGTGAGGACCTCACACCTAACAGATGTCTACAGTTAGTAAACAGCCAGGCGTGGTGTGCACGCCTGGAATCCCAGCCCCCAGCAGGCTGAGACAGGAGGGTCTACAGCTGCAGGCCACAAGTTTGAGGCCAGCCTGGGCTACATATTGAGACTCTGGCTCAAAACACCAAAATAGTGGACAGGGGACAGGGAGGTGGCTCAACAGAGCAGAACCTGCCTGGCAAGCATGAAGCCCTGAGTTCAACTGCTGGCACCAAAGAAGAAAATTTTAAAAATAATAATAAATAAAATTTGAACTTGGGTTAGGCAGCAAACACCCTGAGTGCTGGGGCTGGGGCTCAAACAGCAGCATCACTGTCACCCCGCATGGCAGTAAACTCGTACCCCTCGGCGGGTGCCCCCCAGGAAAAACCCTCCAACCCGAGGACAGTGAGGGGCCTCGCTGTGGGACACCAGGTGGAGCAGCTGACTCGGGCACGGGGGACTCGGGCACACAGAAGGCCGGGCGGGGCCTCTGGGCAGTGGGCAGGGTCAGGCGGGGCGGAGGCTCTGTGCCTGTGGCTCCCCCTGGCAGAGCTCACAGAGCCCTTGGGAAAGGGAGGTGGGAGCACCTTCACCGCGTGGGAGCCAAGATACAGTGACATTGGGGACCCGTCCAGCAGAACCGCGTCCACCTTAGTCACTGGACTGGATGCTGTGTGACACTCGGTCCTTCCCCAGAGTCACAAAAAGTGATCACTGGGGACCCGTCCAGCAGAACCGTGTCCACCTTAGTCACTGGACTGGATGCTGTGTGATGCTCGGTCCTCCCCCAGAGTCACAAAAAGCAGGAGCAGTAGATGTCCCGAATCAGGACACTGAGGCAGCCGCCACGGCACCACCGAGGGCCTCAGGAGAGGACCCAGGGCCGCTTCAGGAGCGGACGGAGGGGGCTCCTGGCCGAGCTCCCTACCCCAGGAGGTGACGCGGAAGCACCTGCTGTCCCTCCCTGCCCCGTCCCATCCTAACACCCCACAGCACCTGGCTGGGGCGCCCCCCCACCTGCGCCCTGTACCCCACTCTGCCTGCCGTGAGGCCACCTACACAGCCTCAGCCTGAGCAAAGACGTGGAGACCCGGGCTCCAGGAGGCCCCCAGCAGTTTAACAGCGCGGACAGGGCCCTGCCCACAAGGCTGATCCCCACCGTGAAGGCTGTTGTGAGGGGCAGGCGGGACCTGGCTCAGGGCCGTCTGCCTTGGACTCGAGGCTACAGGACAGAGACAGAGGCGGCGTGTGTGTGGCCTGCTCCGAGGACCGAGCTGATCCACTTCTGGAAGCACCTTTGGCAGTGACAGTCAGAGGCCCTCAGAATCATCAAGTCCCAACCTGCCCAGGCCACTCTGTGTCATCTGCTGAGGAATCAGGTTGGGGAGGTCGGGGCCACCCAAGTCACACAGTCCCAGCCCAGAAGAGCTCTGAACGCTGCAGCCATCACTCCTGCCACCTGAAGGCTGCTTGCACTGGCCATCACATCCTGATCCCACCCCTCCATGGAATGGGCGGAGAAAGTGGTCTTGTGCTGCCTGAAGCTCCCAGGAGGGGGCATGGCTCTGGTGTCAGTGTGGGGGCCTGAGTACCGTATAGTGACAGTCCCTGCAACTGTGGAAGTCACTGTGATGCCAGGAAGGCACGGACACCCCACAGGTGTCTCAGGCCCCCGGGAGCAGCCACTCCTAGCCTGTGTTGGGGGAGGATTACCCACGACACACCTGGGGCTCCCGTCCTGCGTCCGGGTAACAGGAGAATGAACAAAGTGGTTGCCAAGGCCCTGAGTGGCACTTGGCACACGCCGAGTGCTTAGAAATGTCAGCTGCTTTGTAGTGTTTTTTTTTTTTTCATTTTTCTTTTTTTTTCATTTTCAGCCTTCGGAATGCTGGCCAGGGTTACAGGCGCGGCCTCTGCCCCGTGCGCAGCTGCTGCTCCATAATGTGCCACAGATGCCCTTGCAGCCAGATGAACACAGAAAGCTTGTTCCAGGGCCTCTGTCATTTCCTTTCCAGCAGTGCTGGGGATGGGACCAGGCCTTGGGCAGCTCCACAGCTTCCAGTTGAAGAGATGTGTAATGCTCCTGGGCAGGGGCGCCTCAGTTTCCCTAATGCATCCCCTTCCCAAAGGCACAAGTGTGTTCAAGTCTTATGTGGCCGAGACCCAGCAGCCACCGCCCGGCACAGCTGGGCAAGCACTCTAATGCCTCCTAGAGCTTTAAATGTTTCCAGGCGGCCTCTCGCAGAGTTTCCCAGGCAGCTCTCAAACCCTTGGTCCTCCTGCCTCAGCCTCCTGAGCAGCTGGGATCAGAGGCATCCAGCTTTCCATGGCATTTGAATGCCATGGAGTGTGGGGCAGCTCCTGCATGACCCCTGCCCACCTGGCGTGGCCTCGAGCAGCCACTATGTGAGGCTAGCATCTGCTGCCCCCCAGGCTGCCCTGAGGGCTGCTCCTTGCAGGCACCAGGCAGCCGCCAGCCCCAGGACCTTGGCACTTGCTGCCCCCAGAATCTGCTTCTCTTAATGCTTTTTCTAGGTTGTCTTTTAACATCTTTTTAAAATGCCCCGAAGGAGGGATGTGGCCTCTGGCAGAGGCAGGTGACCTGCCGGGCAGAGGCAACCGGGTCAGTGACAAAAAGGGGACCTGTCTACTCTGCCCCACTTTCAGGCTAGAGGCCCCCATAGTGGGTGGCTGGGGACAGCTGTCAACTGGCGCCCCCTCGTGGCCTCTCAGGAAAATGCAACCTCTTCAGCCAGCAGCTCAAGCAGTCCAGAACTAAGTAGTCCAAACTGGGCTGGAAGTTGGGATCCTCCTGCCTCAGCCTCCTGAGTGCTGAGATTCCCGACAAGTACCCACATACCTGTTCTAGAACTGTGCCTCTTTTTTTTTTTTTGTCTTTTTCCTTTTTATGGGTACTGGGGATCGAACTCATGACTGCCTGCTTGCAAGGCAGGCGCTTATGCCGCTGAGCTAAATCCCCAGCTCCAGAACTGTGCTTCTTGATGATTAAAATGAAATAACCCAGGTAAACACCGAGCACAGGGCCACCCGCTAGGTTTGTTTCAATGACCGCTGTCCACTCAGAGCTTGCCAGGGGCCCGACCCAGGGTGGGTTTGCTTTCTCCTTCACCCCGAATCCCAGGCTGCCCTTGAGATGCTGCGGGGTCCTCCCGGAAACACCTCTGCCTCCCTCGCGGACCCAAGAAGCCACACACAGCACTGGGGGTTTTAATTCTCAAGTGGACTGTGTCTGTTTGTCATCTGACCGCCCTCAGGGCCGGGGGACAGCCCCTGGGGGACCCAGGCTGTGAAGCAGCAGGAATCCTGGGGTACCCAGACGTTCCGTTCTCAGTCCAGGCCCAGGAGCCCCTTCTGCCAGGCAAACAGGGACCTCGGTCACTGCTTCCGGAAGGGAAGGGACAGACCCACATTTGCCGGGGGTGAAGGGACACACACGCGGCAGACACCGGGCACCGTGGTCCTGCTCAGTCAGACAGCACAGCCGAGTCGGGCTCCCCAGGGGCCCCGCCGCCCGCCGCCCGCCCCACCGCCTCCACCCAGCGGCCCTGCAGCTCCTCTGTCTCGGCCCTGAGCGTGAGCAGCTGGCCCGACTGCTGCAGCTGGAAGACACGTGGGTCCCCCTGCGGCCCGGCTGTCACCTGGTAGCCCAGCAGCGGGATGGAGGTGAGCGCCCGCGTGTCCTGCGGAGAGAGCCGTGACCAGGTGTTCGTGCTGAGCTGAGGCCCCAGCCCCTTTATTTATTTAGAGGAGGGGTCTCCTTATCTGCTTCACTTGTGAAGGGGCCCAAACTTGGGATCCTCCTGCTTCAGCCTCCCAGAATGCTGGGGTTACAGGCATGTGTCACTATGCCTGGCTTGGTTAAAGGATCGTCCCCAAACCCCCAACGGTGGGTGGGCTGGCAAAGGGATGCAAGAGAGGAGAGAATAATACTCAGCTCTGAAACGCCGAGACTTGGGGCTGCCCGTTCTCCCGGGGCCTCAGTTTCCCTGTCTGACAGTACCCACGGGTGCACGGAGAGCCAGTGTTACCTGCGGGGCCGCGTAGATGTACAGCACGAGGGGGTCGTCCCGGGGGATCACACACCAGCTGCGGCTGCCGCTCCGGCCCCACCTGTCCCCAAGCAGCTGCAGGAAGCCGCTCATCACGCTGCCGTCGGGCCCGGCTGCGGCCCCTTTCTGAGCAGAGGGGGACGGAGGGACGTGTGGGGCCGGGGGCACCAGGGCACGTCGGGAGGGACGGGTCAGCTGTCCCTGGGGAGGTGGCGCCCACTCTGGTCTGCAGGGTCGCTGGCCCGTCCACCTGACCTCCAAGGGGCCGTGCTGTTAGCCAGCCCCTGGGCCCACGATGTGAGATTTGGGGTGTCCTGGGTGTCCCGGGTCTCCCTGGGACAGGCCCTGTCCTGTGGCTCTGGGGCAGAGACAAGGGTCCGGGTGACGCGGCCGGTCTGGCCTCACCTGCAGGATGCCCCTCCTGCGGCCCTCGGGCAGCACGCAGCCGGTGAGGAAGGTGTAGCAGGCCGCGCACACGCGGTGCAGGTGGCCCTGGTCGTACTGCAGCTCGGCGCGGTAGTCAGAGCAGCGGGCACAGACGACCTGCGGGAGGGGACAGGCGGGGACACTAGGCTGGGGGACGGGCCAGGAGGGAGGACACACAGCCTGGGGTTGCACCGAGGGGCTGGGAGCTGCCCGGAGGCCCTGCTGCTATCTGTGCCCAGCGTGGGCCCCGCCCTCCCAGGGACCCAAGGGGCAGGTGGGCACGCGGAGGCTGGCACCCAGGTCACCGGGACGCCGAGGGAGGCTGACTCAGCAGCAACCAGGGTGGGGCACTGCCAGGCCCTGTGCCCTGCACAGCAGGGCACTCTGTTTGCTGTGGTGCTGGGAACGTGGCCAGGGCCACGGCAGGCCAGGTGAGTGTCACGCTGGACCCCACGCAGGGGCCTGGGCCGCCTGCTGGTAGGTTTTAAATGGAGAGAGAAATTATAAGCTGAGTAAACACTCATTTTCCCTCCTGCCACCACGTGCACTTATTATTACTATTATTATTGTTATTAATTTTGGAAAGTTTTACTATGCAGTTCAGGCTGGCCTTGAGTTCACTACATAGCCCCGGCTGGCCTCCAAGTCATGGTGATCCTCCCGCCTCAGCCTCCTGAGTGCTGGGATTGCAGGTGGGAGCCGCGGTGCCCGGCTCCGTTTTTGCTTTTTAAGAAGTTACGGGAACCGCTTGTGAGGCTGAGACCACAAATTGACTCAAAGCTTGGGACAGATGTGGAGCCACTAGGTGGCTTCGGGAAGTGACCGTCACCTGCTTCTGGGTGCCAGCGCGCCCTCGGTGCTAGAAAGCCACTTCTGTCCCAACCGCAGTAGAACATGTGTGAGGCCACCTTCCTGGCCCTCCTGTCCCCAGCCCTTTGCAAGGGCTCGAGTCGGCCACAGCACAGCTCGGTGCCCGTGCCCAGTGCTGCCAGGAGCGGCGGGGACGCATGCAGTACTCACATAGCCGCAGGCCCGGCAGTGGTGGCGCCGGCGCGTCAGGGCGTTGAAGGGCTCCTGGCAGCGCATGCACATGGTCACCATCTTGTCGCGCACCCACTGCGGGGCCCGGAGGCCCAGCTCCTCGGACTGCAGCTGCGGGGACGCGGTGGACGCTGCCTGAGTCTGTGTCCGGCCCCCACCTGAGCCCCTCCCTCCGCGCTGGCCCTGGGAGCCCCAACAGGAGCGAACCCCGCTTCCCGCACCTCCTGCTCCTGGGCGTCGCCCTCCGGGCCCTGCACCGCGGCCTTGAAGGTCTCAGTGCGCCTCTCCAGGTGATCCACGGCGGCCTGGCAGGCCTGGGCGCAGGGGCAGCGTGTGGGAAGAGGGGCAGTGGCTTCTCCGTGTCCACCCACCCGGCACCCAAGGGCCACCGCCCGCAGCCCCGGTGGACCCTGGGGACCCAGCACGCAAGGCCAGGTCACCCAGATGCACAGGCCGCGCAGGGGCCGTACCTGCATCCAGGAAATCATCTCCTCCTCGGACCTGCGGGGCGGGAGCGCGTGAGGCGGGCGGGGCGGGGCAGGCGCGCGTCCCAGCCCCGCGTCCCCACCTACCGCGCCTGCAGCTCCAGCGTGCGCTGCCTCCCCGACACCAGGAATGAGTGCGGGAACTCCGAGTCCGGCAGCGGCCGCACCTGCAGGGCCAGGGAGGACGGCGCCCGTCAGCCCGGCGCCCGGGGACCCGTCACGGGCAGGGCGCGGGGACAGGCAGCGTGAGGCCACCGCCTAGTCCCGCTGAACCAGTCAACGCCGGAGCCGCCCGCTGTTCCTTACTCTCCACAGTTTTTATTTCATGGGGCTGGGGTCAGCCGAGAGCCCTGCCCGTCTGCCCAGAGCTGCTGTGCCAATCCGAGAAGGATCTGCTGCCCCCAGACGTTTTACTGACATCTGTGGCAAACTGGCATCTTATCCAGATTTCATTGATTGGTAAAGACAGTTGACTGCCATCTGTCGGGCAACCCTTGCTACAAATATCCAACCCATGAGTGCGCACCAGAGTAGGCAGCTCTGTGGCCCGCTGCAGACAGTGCCTCTTACAATGAGGTGTGCTGTGCAGTGCACAACCTGCACAGCTGTACATGCCGTCCCCAGGGATGTGCGTGGTCACACCGCTTCTTTCTTTGTAGGCTAGCCCTGAGCAGGACTATGTCAGACTGTGGGGAGAATCAGCCGCTGAGGATGAGGACTGTCTGACACTCAGGAAGGAGGAGGTCAGGGGTCATAGGTCAGGCTGCCTCCACACCAGGCTTAGAAAAGGGTTCTGCACAGAGATGGACAGCACTGTGCCTGCCATGCCCAAGCTACCCAGAAGAGGGCGCTGGGTGACCGCTATAGTAGGAACTACAGACTCACCAGGTTGGTCCGGTGAGTTTCTCTGGGATCAAAGGCTGGGATCAAATCCCGACCTTGTGTCCACCCGCAGGCCCTTCACCTTGAGCTCCATCCCTACCCTGACCCTCCTGTTGAGACAGGGTCTCATTAAGTCTCCCAATTGTCCAGGCTTGGCTTGAACTAGCAATCCTCCTGCCTCAGCCTCCCACAGTGCCGGGACGATACCGTGGCAGCTTCAGGACAGGAAAGGAGACACCCTAGGTGAGGGCTTTGGCCTCCATGACCTCCAGGCTGCCCACGCTGGGTGCTTGGGAAAGACCAGGGCCAGGGCCAGGGAAAAAGGGTGAGGCGTGGCTTCCTCCGGCCAGGCCTGAGGTCCCAGGACACACCAGCTTGGAGCAGAAGCCTGGCTGGAGCTGCCCCATGCCACAGCCGAGCTCAAACCTGACCACTGTTCGACCCTGGGCAAGAAGAGCCCCCAGGGCCCTGTGGCTCTGCATGCCGTGGGGGACTCACGGGCTGGACACTGCAACCCACCACACGGCCCCTTTCAGGCACTGGTACCATGGTGGTCTGTGGGCAGCCACCCCCAGGATGCAGAGTCTCTAATTTTGGTTTAGTTTGTGATACCTGGAATTGCGCCCAGGCCCTGTGCACAGAGCTACATCCCCAGCCCCTTTTTATTTTGAGACAGGTTCCTGCTAAATGGATAAACTGACCAGATGGGCCTTAAACTTGAGAGCCTTCTGCCTCTGCCTCCTGGGTTGCTGGAATTATAGGCATGCACACCTGTGCCCAGATAAAACTACTTTTAAAGGACCATCACAAAAAAAAAAATAAATAAAATAAAACAATGCCCAGGGATATAGCCCAGTGGCACAGTGCCTGCCTGGCAAGTGTAAGGTCCTGAGTCCAGTACTGCTAGAAAAAAAAAAACAAAACAGAACCCCAGGATATAACACCGGCCCTCCATGGAGGCCCTCAGCAGGCTCTGAGGGGAGGGTGCAGTTCTAATCCTCAGGGACAACCCAGTCAGGGGGCCCACCCCAGCACAGGGGTACCTGGGCCAGGACACGCCACACACAGGCCAGCACTGTAGTGCCCCCCCCAGCTTGGCACCCAGTCTCAGATCCTGGGTTCCATCCCCAGGACCCCGAAATAACTGAATGGACAGAAGCAAGTCCTCAGGTTCCCCGGACCCAGCCTCACAGGCTGCACCTACAGAGCTAGCTGGGGGGTGAGGGCTTCAGGTGTGGACAGCAGGGAAGGCTGGGCTGGCCAGGGCCAGAGCCCCCTGGAGTGCGGTGGGCGCCCTGGGGAGCAGCAGGCACTCAGGCTCTCACCACCCCGTGGGGACCCCGATGGTCTCCCAGCCCTGGGCAGCCTGTGCAGAACCCACCTTCATCCCGGCCACATCGATGCGGGTCCGCACCTGGAAGTGGGCGCCCACCTGCAGGACCCGGGGCACGCAGTACAGCAGCATGTTGTTGAACTGTGGAGGACACGGGGTGAGCCGGGCACCGCGGTCCCCTCCCTTCTGCCACCCCCGGGGACAGCTGGCGGGGCTCCCAAGCGACAGAAGGAGGCAAGGATGGGCCCGAGGGGTCGCCCTGCCCATGGGACCCCAGACACCCCGAGGCTGCTCCTGGGGCTCAGGTGCTGGGGCTGATGGAGGCGAGCACCTCCGCGTGTGGGGCCCCGGGCCGGATCTCGGGGAAGCCTCTGGCTTTTGGGGGCGTCGGGCCCAAATGAGGTCAAGGCCAAGCCGGGCTGCACAGCGAGCTGGGGGCGCCCCCCACCCCGTACCAGGAAGAGGTAGCGCTCCATGGGGTCGCGGCGGCGCGAGGAGATCTTGAGCACCGGGCCCTCGCGCAGCAGCGCGTTGGACGGGTCCACGATGTCATCGTCCAGGCCCAGGCGCTGGTACACGGCCCACAGGTCCCGCAGCCGCTCCTGCGGGGGACGCGCTCAGCCGGGCCCGGCGCCAGCGGGCCGGGCGGGCGGGCGGGCGGGCGGGCCGGGCCTCACCATCTCGGCGATGGCGGCGTTGGAGTGCTGGGCGGCCGAGAAGATCACGTCCAGCGCCCCTGGGCAGCGCAGGCCGGCGGGCGTCAGGCGGGGCCGCGCTCCCCAAGGCGCGGGGCGCACGCGCGTCGCCTCCGACGGCGCCGGTTCGAGTCCCGCCCTGGGCCCTCCCGGCTGTGGGCCCTCGCGAGCCCGGGGGCTCCCGGGCCCCGCACCCCACCACCCCGGCCCAGCCCCGGCCCCGGGCCCGCGCGCCTCCTCACTCTGGGCGTCGGGCCGGTCGGCCGCCCCGGGCGGCAGCTTGCGCACGTACTCCCGCAGCAGCAGCTCGTAGCGCGGGACGCGCTGCACCGGCTCCAGCAGGTGGTGCTGCAGCGTCAGGCTGCCCGAGGCCTCGCTGCTCTTGGGGGGCAAAGCGGGGCAGGGGCGGAAAGGGAGGTTGGGGTGCGGGGCGCCCAGCGCAGAGCCGGGGACGCCCAGCCTGCGGCGCTCACCTGGATGCGGGTGATGACCTCCTGGAACGGGGGCGACTTCTCGGCCCAGGTGGCCAGCAGCTCGCCGGCGCGCTCGAAGTTCTTCACGTACTCGCCGTACATCTTCAGGAACGGACCCAGCTTCTGGATCACGTCGCCGATGCGGGGCGTGGCCGTCCTGCGTGGTGACACGGGCAGGGGCCTGGTGTGGTGACCTCTGACCCCAAGCAGGTTCGGGGCCAGCTGGAGGGCGAGGGGCGTCATCCCTGCATCCCTGACCAGGAGGAGCCCCACCTGACCCAACCTAGCAGTACACAGCCTTGGCTGAGCCGGGCGTGGTAGCGCCCACCTGTAATCCCAGAGGCTGAGGCAGGAGGATCGCTGCTAGTTCGAGGCCAACCTGGGCTACATAGTGAGTTCAAGGCCAGCCCGAGCTGCTACACTGTTTCAAAACAAAACTGAACCACGCAGAACTGGCCTGCCTAAGGTTTATTCCCAGCCACGCCAAGGACTGTAGCTGTGTGACCTGGAGCAAATCGCTCGGTCTCTCTGCCCTACTGTGCCAAAGTAGGGGTGATGAAGGGGAGCTCGTGGGGTGTTATTCCTTCTTTTCAAAACACTTTACTATGGGAAGGTTCCAGCAATTACAAGCAGAAAGAATGTAGCAGTTACCCAGCCCTGCCGGCTGTTTCAGGACGTCTCAGGCATTAGGGCAAAACACAGAAAGTGGGTAAGTTAACCACTGAGTGCCCGAGGCTGCCTCGGAAAACAGGTTTCCCGTGTCTGAGCCACACGAAGCAGGAGCGCTCTGCCACCAAGCAATTATCCCCTCACCCCACCAGCTCCTTTTATTAAAAAAAAAAATATTCCTTTTAAATTTTGAGACAGGATCTCACTAAGTTGCCTGGGGTAGCCTCAATTCGAGATCCCCCTGCCTCAGCTTCCCAGACCACTCGGATGACAGGCATGGGTCACTACTCAGGGCTTGTCCATCCAAGCTCCTTGCTGTGCAAAGCACCACACACCCAGAGTGGAGACCGCAGTGGCCTCCCAGCAGGGAGCCGGGTGCCTGGTTTGTCCCCATCCTGGCCAGGACTGCCGCAGCCTCACCAGTCCTCTAGGCGGCGCTGCAGCTCCGGGAGAAAGAACTGCGCGTGGAACTGGTAGATGGAGGAGATGTTGGAGAAGATGAGCCTGACCACCTCCTCCGGGAAGGCCTTGCTGCTGCGGGCCTCGCTCAGCAGCTCCTGGAAAAACACCTGCACCCGCCAGCAGGGTCATTCACCGCTGCCCATGGGGAGCCCATGCAGCCTGGTGAAGCATCTTCTTCCCTGTCCCCCACCAGCGGGGGCTGCTTCAAGAAGGCAGAGTGCCAGGGCCGAGAAGGGTGAGCTGGGGCGCCCTGTGCCTTGTGGGGGACTCAGCCCCTGGGGGTGGGGACGGGCTGCGATCCTGATTCCGCCCCACCCTGAGACCTTGGGGCTCAGCCCCATGGAGGAGGGCAGCGCTCAGCAGGGGCCAGGCTGGGGCACCCACCTGGTCCAGCAGGTGCAGGCGGCTCACGTAGGCTTGCTCCGTCTCCAGCAGCTCGCGGACGATCTTCTTCTCCTCCGGCTCCTGCAGGCGAGAGGGGCCTCAGATTCCTGCCTGGAACTCAGCCTCAAGACTGGGTGGCTGCCACCTGCATTTGCTTGGGAGGCGCTGCTGGAAGGGTACAGGCACCCCAACTCCCTGTCCAGGTCCCAGGTGTGAGAGCTGAGCCACCCTGCGGTTCCAGCCCAGGTCACATTGCAATGACATTGTGATGGCCCACACTGGGGGCCCCTTCACAGCTTCCAGCGTAACTGCATTTGGAAACGGGGACCCTCGGGGGGCCTTTTAGGTGAAATGAGGTCACAGGAGCGGAGCCCAGGCCAGGAGGATTGTTGTCCTCGGAAGAGGAAGAGACCTGTGCTCGGGCACAGAGACGTCCACACGCAGGCGGGGAAGCTGGCGGTGTGGGCGGAAGGAAGCAGGGATTCCTTGGGAACCAGAGGATTCCTATCTTGGCGGCCTCGAGCGAGGTCTTTGCTGTTGCTTGAGGCAGGATCTCACTCTGTCATCCGGGCTGGCCTTGAGCTCACTTTGTAGCCCAGGCTGGCCTTGAACTCTGTGATCGTCCTGCCTCAGCCTCCCAAGTGCTGGGATTACAAGCATGTGCCACCACGCCCAGTTCTTTACATTTCTGTTTCCTGCCTAAAAACTCCCACCCAGGAACCCAGGACCCAGGGAAGAGTGTGACAGGGACCCAGCTGGGCTGTGAGAGGAGCACAGTCCAGCTCCTGGCTGAGCTCTGGTCACACAGGGTTCACACCTGGGTCTCTGATGGGGACTGGGTCCCCGGCTGGCAAGACTTCCTCCAGGCCCCACTGGACAGCTTGTCCTTCAGGGAGTTCAGGTAGCTCCTGCTCACAGTCCTGGGCCGAGACTGTGGGGCCTCCTCAGCAGGGAGCATCTCCCAGGGCCCCAGGGACAGGGCTGGCCTACACTCCTGCGGATGCTGTGCGCCTCCCGGGCTGTCGTCTCCAGGCGCCGCTCCTGAGGTCCTGAGAACAGAGCAGATCTGAGGGCTCCTCGGTGGGGAACAGGAGGTGCAGGAGCCCCAAGCCCTAGCGGGGTGCTCGGGTGACAGTGTCAACTTGGGTGTAGCAGCCCTGGCACTCTACAGGAACTTGCCAAGGAAGACCCCGATTCTCCCTCATGGAACTCTGCCTGGGGGGAGCTTCAGGTCCACATGAGTCAATGCACACTGTTTTGGGGGAACTGTATACTTCCCTTTTTAAAGTGCAGCCTCGTCCAGAGAGCCCCCTCTTTCTGCACACAGGTGGCTTTTGTATTTATTACCAAGAGTTTATGTTTCTTTTCTTTTCTTTTTTTTTTTTTCCGAGACAGGGGTTCACAGTCTAATTCAGGCTGACCTTGAACTCACAGCAACCCTCCTGCCTCAGCCTCCTGAGTGCTAGGATTACAGGACTGCGCCACCACGTGGCATCATTTGTAGATGGACATACTGGTCCCTCCTAAGATTCAGCTATCATGAACCGTCCTGCTATAAACATGGACATGCATGGTCACTGGAACAAGATGGACAGAGTTTCGCTGTGGCTGCTCTCCATCTGGCCTCTGGTTTAATTTCTGCATCAGCAATGAACGATCAGGGGAAGTGGGAGCCACCGAATAACCTAAAGAGCTGCTGACGCGAGGTCTGGCGGGGCCCATGCCCTGCACACCCCCTGCAGGGGCCACAGCCAGCCCGGCGCAGGGTTCCTGTTTTTGTGCGCCGGGGCAGCTTTGCTGCCCTTCATCCAGGGACTTCGGGGCTGTTGGCTCTGTAGGGTTAGGGAGCCACCAGGGCGCGCCCCCTGCTGGGGAAGAGCCGGGGAACCCTGAGCCGGCCCAGGACAGAGCCCCAAACTCCGAGGGAAAGATTCGCCTCGCACCCGCTTCGCAGCGTGGAAACTGAGGCTCAGGCAGGCTGAGCCTCCTGCAGCGCGGGCCCAGCAAAGGTGGGGTGTGAGCCCGGGGGGCGCCCTGAGCTCTCCTGAGGCCCTGCCCGCCCCCTGACCCCTGTCACGGAGAAGCGTCCGAGAATCACAGCGACTTCCCCAACCAAGCCTGTGGCCAGCGACCTGGGCTGCTCCCCCGGGCTCCGGCCCCCTCCCAGCACCGGACCTGCTTCCGCGGCGCTGAGGCCCGGGTTTCTGTTCTGCATTTGGCTTCCGCGCCTGCATCTCCCGCGAGCCCCGGGCCAGCTTCTGCTGCAGGTCAGCGGAGGCGCCCGGGCATCACAGAGAAGCCCAGGCCCAGCGGGGGCAGCGCCCACGGAAGCCCACGCCCCCCCCCGGGTGGAAGGGCTCCCCTGGCAGGGGCGCTGTCCGGTGCGGGGGCCACAGCGTGCCTGGCTCCTCCTGAGGGTTAGGGCACCTGCCTGGCTGGGCATCCATCCCCTCCCATCGGTGGGCAACCGGGAGGGTGGTGCCAGCGCTGTCCTCGGTGCTGACCGGGGTGCCCTGCTGCAGGACCCCCCGCCCCACTCGGGGCGGAAGCCCAGCTGCCTTTACCAGGGGTCTTCGCCCCGCCCACTTCGGGCCCACGGGGCGCTTCGGGGTTCCTGCACGCCTGGGCGCAGCTCCTCCGCCCCTCCCAGCACATCTGCTGCCCGCGACCTCATGTGGTGGTGGACAGAAGCCTCTCCCGCTCCCCGAAGTTCCTGCCACCCCCTCCTCAGCTCCTGGCGCTGTGGGTGCCTGAGCAATGACCACGGCAAAGCCTGCAACCCTCAGTCCACTTCCTGAGCCCCTAACCCAGTTCTGGGTTTACATGGGTGCTCGGTGACTGTCATACACACACAAACACACACAGACACACACACAGCACACAGGGTGGCACCGCCAGGGTCACCAGTTGGTGGGGCCTGTGGTGGGCACCCTTTGATGAGCCCCGCCCGCTCAGGCCCCACAGGCGTCCAGCCTACCCCCAACCCTGCTGCTCCTGCACCCTGGGGCTCCCAAGCTCTGAACTACTCTCCAGGGCTTCAGTGGGCACTGCCCAGCTGGGAGAAGGTGTGCAGGGCATGAACCGAGGAGAGCACAGCGGCCTGCACCTGGGCCTGGATGGAGCCTGGGCCCCCCCACACGCACCCCACCTCAGCCCCAGCCCCAGCCCAGAGCGAGCCTTCCCCCAGCGGCCCTGTACCTGCCCTCCTCAAACACAGTCACCAGGCTAGACACAGAGGGTGGCTTCTCCCTGTCCACAGGCTCCATTCCGAAGGCCTTCAGACCCTGCTGCACCTAGGGAGGGAGAGAGCTCTTTAGTCTGGACCCTCGGCCACCTTGGCTGCAGGACCCAGTTGGCCTAGGACATCCTGTGTCCTCCCTGAGGGCCCAGCAGGCCTGGCTGCGGGCTTCAGAGTGAAGGAGGAAGTGACCCCTTAGCCGTGGTGGCCAAGGGAAAGGCCCCTTGTTCCCATAGAGGGGGCTGGATGGCCCACTCGCTGACCTCTCACTTCTGTGGACCTCCAGTTCTAGAGCCACCTGCGAGGACTACAGAGGCTCTGCAGCTGACCCCGTAACTGGTCTGGTGGCCTGAGTGGCTCTGGCCAGCCTCACTTTCTCCCTCAGAAGTTCAGGAGCTTCCTCCTGGGCCCTCGGAGCTCAGTGGTTCTGCCTCTGCTTCTGCGCACTGCTGCAGAGAAACCGTTTTTTTTTTTTTTTTTTTAACTAAAAAAGCTGCTGTTTTTGCGTTGATGCCCCAAGAGAGGCCGCTTCCTCCCTGAAACTGGTGCTCAGAGTCGAGAAGACTCCACCACTGGGCGCTCTGTGTGGGCATTTCCCAGTCCGCCCAAGCCGAGCCCACTTTCCGCAGAGACAGCAAAGATCAGAGAGGTGCAGAGGCTTCCTGAAGTCACCCAGGAAGAACACAAAGAGAAGCCTGATTTCCAGAGCCAAAGCGAGGGCCCTGGATTCCGGCAGGGATTTGCTGCTTTCTGGATGCTTCGTTGTCCTGTGGCTTCTCCTGCCCCAGGCCTCCTGAGCTGTCCCAGGGCTCCCAGACCCGAAAGCCTCTGCCTCTGCCCCTGCACTCAGGCCCCCGGGCTGAGCAGGGTTCTCCTGCTGCGGCTGCTCTGTGCTGTCCTGAGCCAAGGCCCGTGGAGATGGAGCCAGGTCCTGCAGGGTGGGAACCCAGCCTGCAGTGCTTGGTACCCAGAGAACCTGATGGAGCACGGCACTGAGGGGCTCTCCCACTGGGGCTCCCTGCCTCACCCAGCCTCAGTGCCGTGCTTCCGTTTGTATTTTTATTATGAAGAGTATAGGATATATGCGAGAGTAGACTGAAGAGCATAACGTACCCCGTGAGCCCCTAACACTGACCCAGGGCCCCCTATCCAGACTATGGTCACCACTAGTGACCTTTTCCATGTCAGTTTTGAAAGGAATCCCAAATATTGGGATTTAGCCAATATGGTTTCACCCCCAAATATTTCAGTGTGTATCTATGAGCTAAAGACCCAGCCAGGCATGGTAGTGCACACCTGCAATCCCAGCAATCTGGGAGGCTAAAGCAGGGGATCCCTAGTTTGAGTCCATCATGAGTAACTTGGTGATTTAGGGAGACTGTCTCAAAAACAAAACAAACACAAAATACCAGCTGGGCATGGTGGCACATGCCTGTAATCTCAGCACTTGGAAGGCTGAGGCAGGAGGATCTCTGTGAGTTTGAGGCCAGCCTGGGCTACAAAGTGAGTTCAAGGGTCAAGGATACAGCTCAGTGTCACAGTGCATGCCTGGCAACCACAAGGTCATTAGTTTGATCCCTGGTACCAAAGTGGGGTTAAAGCCAGCTTGAACCACATAGCAAGAAAATGTCTCAACCCCCCCAAAAACAAAAACATAACAACCAACTTGCTGGGGAGGTGGCTCAGGGCAAAGACCATGGGTGCAATTCCTGATACCACACACATACACACACACACACACACACACACACACACACACACATGCACACACACATATGCACACACATGCATGCATGCACACAAACACAAAAGAACTTATAAATACATAAACACACATACATACACATGCATGTACACATTTATAATAATAAAATCAGTTCCATGCACATGTATTTTGCACGTTCAATACGTGTGCATAGACATAAAATAACATTGCCACTGTCAGAGCCCGAGGTGGCTGTCTCAGTTCCTCAGTGTGGTGACTCCTCAGAAGGCAGAGTGCCAACGTCTCACAAATGCCTTCATGATGAGAACAAGATGTGATATTAAAAAAAAAAAGTCAGGTACACGCAGGCACAGCAGAGTTGCCCTGGGCCCCTGGTTCTTTGTCTGTACCCAGTGGTGGGGACACAGTGCCCCCAGGTCTCCCATCCACACAGTCAAATCCCCGAGATGGGGACCACTTCCTCCCAGGCCAGGGCCCCAGTGGCGGCTCTTCCTCTGCTTCCTCTGAGCTGGGGTGGAGGGTGTGCACATTGAGGGGCCTCAGAAGGCCCATGAGACACAGGCCACACCCTGAGTCCCAAAGGACATCTCACCTCTCAGCCACCAGCGCTGGGAGCGGCCCAAGTGGTGTCTGGGCCCCCCAGCACAAGACTGTCACCTCACATCAGCACCTGCTGGGGCGTAGTGATTTGTGACAGACAGGCCTGTGATGAGGGTAAGGATGACAGGACGACATAGCTCCTGGGAAGATTCGGCTGGCCAGCTGAGACCTGCCCGTGAGTCTGCTGCGACCCTGTGACCCCACTGTGCCGCCTCGTCCCCTCCTCCTGCCCATGCCACCTCCTGCCAGGAGGCACTGAGGGTGCTGTGTGTGGCACACGGTGCCCGGCTTGAAGGCAGCTGCTCTCTGGGGCCTCATCGTCCCCCAGAATTCCCTGAGTTCCCTTCTGCCAGATGTCCCACCACCCGGCTGGGTGTGGCACAAAAGTAGACTAAAGAGCATGTGGGACTTTCTCAGGAACTTCCCTGCACCCTGCTGCTGCCGCCCCAGCCCTAGGGGGTCTGTGCTGTTCTCTTTTCTTTTTAGTCAGTCAGAGGGATGTCACCAATCAGAGTCAGCTTAGTTCTGGGTGGGGTCAGAGGACACTGTGGAGACACTGGATAGCGCCTCACTGAGCCCAAGTCTGCGCCAAGTCCCAAGGGTAACACATACCCAGGCAGTGACTGCGGAGACACAAACAGCCTTCCCTCCTCCGTGTGTGAACGGGCTAGTGTCATAGCTGGCTTTCCCAGGGACAGTCAGGCTTGCACCAGGCCCTGGCACCATCCCACTATTTAGCAGGGACGCAAGGTCACTGGGGTCAGATACGGGGGAAACGGGAGGTGGCCAGGGCAATGGGGTGAGAATCCCTGACTGACGTCAGCCACAGCCCTGCACCTGGGAGCCCCGGGAAGGCATCAGGTTTCTAGGGCAGGAGAAGGCCCGGCAAGGAGGCGCCAGCAGAGCCAGGCAGGCAAGCTGGAGCTGGGTTGTGCCAGGCCAGCCTGAGAGGTGCTGGAGCCCTCTGCCTCACGGGCTCCTTTCATCTCTAGGCCCTGCGGCCTCTCCGGAGCCCTGCCTGCCAGCCCCACGCGGAAGCTGGGAGAAACCTGAGGATCTCAGCCTGAGAAGGGACAGTTGTCTCTGTGTGGCCCCTGGGGACCTTCCTCCTCCACGCACAGCGCCGGATTCTCCTCTATTGGCGCCTGCTCTGTGTCACTAGGTCCCTCTGTCTCTGCTCCAGGGACAGCTTTTACACAAGCCAGCCTGTAGGGTCATCGAAGGCTGTTACTGGGTTCTGGGTTGTGGCTGCGGACACAGGCTTCTGTCCCTAGCACTTGAGCCCTGCAGGACCAGCCCTGCATCCCACCAGCTGCTCCCAGGTCTCCTCGGTGTCACTGGATGTAGGGCAGCAGGACCTGGCTTCTCTCTGTGACCCCTCAAGGAGGCACGGGGCTACTGCACAAAGGGGTGGAAAGAATCAGCGGTTTGCATCCTTCCGGCAATTCAGCTTTTGGGCTCCTCAACTCCAGCTCTGTCCCCTGTCCCCAGCTGGGATGGGCCACTCGGAACTCAAAAGTGCTCTGCCCATTTTGTCCTTGTCATCCCAAGCCCAGTATTCCAGTGAGGCTGACATCTCCCCCTGTGCAAGTGTCACCTCCTGCCTTCCATGGTACCCAGCTCTGCAGTGTGGGGGAGCACAGCTGGGGCCCCATGCATGTCAAGCAAGCACCTTACCACTGAGCGGCACCCTAGTACCTGGTTTCGGGGATTCTAATGTTTGGCTGGGTTTGGGATGTGGGCAAGGCCCTGACTAGATGGTGGAGGCCCTTGGTGTTCCAGCCCCCACTGAGCACCCAGTGGGCACAGACACCCACAGTGCCACGTCTGGAGCCTCTGACTGAAGGCATTGTCAGTGGTATGGTCATACGTGAGCTGGCTCAGAAGTTAACTGTACACACACACATGTGCACAAGCACACACATGTCCATGCATGTCTCAAACTAGTTCCCAGAGATGGCACCATCTAAGCTGGGATTTATAAATGCAAGTGTCAACTTGAACCACACAGGTAACCTTCTGACTGCAGAAGGTGTGTGATTAGCTGTGGGTATTGAGGATGGAGAGCCTGTGCCCTCTTCACAGCCAGCTTTTGCTCTGTTGTGACTTACTGTGGCTAAGAGAATGCAGGCTGATGCCAGAGGTTTTTTCTTTATTTCTTTTTTTTTTTTTTTTTGGTACTGGGGATCAAACTGGAGACCTCAAGCTTGCCAGGCAGGTGCTTATGCCACTAAGCTGAATCCCTGGCCTGATTTTTTCTTTTTTGTTCTTCCCAAGAGAAAGTCATGTTCAGGGATTTTAATGCAATTACTTGAAAGCCATGATGTAGCTGGGCACAGTGATGCAGGCCTGGAATCCCAGCCCTCTGCTAAGCTGCGACAGGAGGATTGCAAGTTCAAACCTGGCCTGGACAACTTAGCAAAACCTGGGGCTGTAGCTCTGGATTCAGACTGCTGTAACTGAAAAAAATCTTGACTTGGTCAGTGGCTTACTGAACTTGGCTGCACGGTGCCCGCCTGCCACCCGCTTTCAGAGGCTATCCTCTGGTTTTGGGTTAGAGCAGCTACCAAGAAACTTTGAAGCTTTGAAATGAAGACCAATTGCAGAAAACCAGCCCAGTCCTCCCACTCACGATAGCAGGTGAGAGACCACAACTAGTAACTGGAGTCCATCTTACAGCAGGGCTTCATGCCACGCCCAGAGCACCTGCCCAACTGAGGCCTGACCTTGCTGACCTTGAGCTCCTGGCCGGAGGGAGCTGGTTGTTGTGATGTCACAAGTTGCAGCCGTGGGAACTGCTTTCTGCACTCTTTTTCATTGCAACAGGGTTCTGCACATGAGCTTGGAGACCGGGATGATCTATCTGCTTGCAGTCCCCACAGCCTGCAGGAAGCTTATTTCTTTTTTAATTTAAATTTTTTTTTTGTACGGGTTGCTCTATTACATCCCCAGAAGTTTGTTTGTTTGTTTGTTTGTTTGTTTGTTTTTTTGGTACTGGGAATCAAACTCACAACCTTGCACTTGCCAGGCAGGCGCTTGTGCAGCTGAGCTAAACCCGCGGCTCCCCCCCTCCCAGCAGTATTCTTTTTTTTTGTTTTTTGTCGGTAACGGGGATCAAACTCAAGACTGCCTGCTTGCAAGGCAGGTGCTTATGCCGCTGAGCTAAATCCCCAGCCCCAGCAATATTAATTCTTGTTTTTCCGTGCACGTTCGTGATCAACTGTATCTTTGAGTGGCTTATGTATATATTTTTATTGTGAGAATGATGTTTTTTTTCTGCTTTCTCTGGCTGTCTTCAAGGTCAAATTGTAGAAATATAACTATAGAGTGGAGTTACATTTGCTTCTATTTGGCATCCTATAGGTCTAACTCACAGAACTTTTTGTTTTTGAGACAGGATCTCGCCTTGTAGCCCAGAGTGGGCTCTAACCTGCGGTAATCCTCCAGCAATCACCGGCGTGCGCTACCACACCCGTCCACAACGTGCTTTTGGTGTTCAGCATTCTCTAGAGAGGGAGACGCTCGACTTCGTCATGGCAAGAGGAATGAGCTAGGGGAGGAGGGGACGGTTCACAGCAGGCGAGCGAGGGGACTGGTAGGGAGAATGGCTGGGCCTGCAGTAGGAGGCCTGGCTCGAACACAGACCCCTGTGGGCCGCGGGGAACCGGATCTGGGCCACAAAGGGGCGGGCCCAGAACTGGAAAGCAAACTTCCGCAGCCACGGAGAGAAGGCGAAAGGCACGCAGTCCCGCAGCCTGCAACCCGCACCCTGCACCCCGCACTCAATCAGCGGGCACCCGCGCCCGAGGACCACTTCCGGCGCGCACCTCTCCGGGGCTCCACTATGGCCTATAGCCGAGCCGCCGGCCCCGCCCCCTGACGTAAGGAGGCGTGGCATCTGCTCGTGACGGGGCGTGACCTCGCGCCCCGCGCCATAGGGGCTTCAGACCCGGAAGTGGCGCCCTGGGCTCGCGGCGGCGCCGCGGGGATGGCGGGAGCCGGAGCTGGAGCGGGAGCTCGCGGCGGAGCGGCGGCGGGGGTCGAGGCCCGGGCTCGCGACCCGCCGCCCGCGCACCGTGCACACCCACGCCATCCCCGGCCTGCAGCGCAGCCTTCGGCCCGCAGGATGGACGGCTCATCCGGGGGCCTGGGCTCCGGGGACAGCGCCCCAACCACCGAGGCCCTGTTCGTGGCCCTGGGCGCGGGCGTGACAGCACTCAGCCACCCGCTGCTCTACGTGAAGCTGCTCATCCAGGTGACAGGCCGGGACCCGGAGGAGGATTGGAGAGAGGGAGGCGACGGCGATGTATTTGCATTTGGGGAGAGCAGCGGGGGCAGTGTATTTCGGGGGCCAAAGGGGTGATAAAAGTAGGGAACGCAGGAGGGATTAGAAATGCAGGGGTCTTGCCTTGGGGTGCAGGACAGCACACAGGGGTCTCAGCGAGAGGAAGGAAGTAGGGTTTGAAATGTGCAGGGGAAGGGGCGCTGGGATGTAGAGACAGGTCGGGGAGCTAAAGGAAGGGGGTGATGAACTTGGTGTAGGGAGGGACGGCGGGTCGGGGAGAGAAGGGCCGACAGTTGGGGGAGGGGCGTGCAGTTTGGGCGAATGAGTAGGGAGGACGTTTGGGGGCCGAGGCAAAATATCTAGAAGACGAGGAGCGCATTTGAGGTAGAGGACAAACGGGGGCTCTGGATTTAGAGGGATGGGCGTAAAAGCGCCTTCGGGGGACAAAGGAAGGAGTGGCGTGTGGGCCAAAAATCCTAGAGGGAACAGGAGCAGGGGAGAGGGAGGAACGTAGGAGTTAAACTTAGTGCGGAGGCAGAGTTCAGCGGAGAAGGGCTGTCTGTTTACTGGAGACCTGGCTGTGGATGTGATGGCGACGACAGATTTGGTGGGAGGAGGGACGACGGTGTGACGCGTTTTGGGGGAGGGGACAGATCGGGCGACGCCGAGGTGGGGGAGCGGAGGGAGGAGAAGAGAGCTCCAGGAGAGCTTTGGGGATGGGGCTGGGGCTGACGCGTTTGGAGGAGAACCTAGAACTGGGGGTTTCCTGGGGATCGGGCCGAAGGGCAGCAGGGATGACCGTGGCGCGATAGGTAGGGTCTGGGAAAACTGAGAGGGAGGTAAAGAGGCGACTGGACGCGCTGGACACCTGACGCACTTGGTTGTAGCCAGTAATGCAGTTCTGAAGAGGAGGGCTTGAGAAAGGGAGGGGTTGAGCTGGAAGGAGGTGTGTCTGTGTGAGTCTGTCTGTGTGTCTGTCTGTGCACGCCAAATTAGGGATGCAAGGGCTATACTGAGGTGGGCACCAGCTAGAAAGGTGGTGTTAGGCTGAGCATGGTTGAGTGCTGGACTCGTGTCTGAACAGGGGAACTAGAATTTTCCAGTTTAGAAGATTGAAAGGTTCCAAGTCAAAAGTGGAGCTGGAAATTTGAGGTTTTGTTTTAAGGCAAGAGGTCAGATTTCCCTGTGCTTGGAACTGAATCAAGAGTACAGGGTGGGACAGAGAGGGCTTGAAGAATGGGCGGAACTGAAATCTGGGGTCGGGAATGGAGGTCGTAAGTAGTGTTGGTGTGTCAGGATGAAGACCTGTATTTGGGTTTGAAGGTGCCGGACTGGAGCCCAATATCAAGGTTTCCAGGTTTGGAAACAGCCTGTGGGAAAGGTGCAGACTGAGGCTGACATTTGGTTGCAGTCTGGGATCGAGGGCAGCTTCACCAAGGGGATTGGGATTTATCATCATCAGGGTCGCAGGTTTGGCAAGAAATCAGTTCTTTGCTGGAGCCTTGAGTTGAGAAGTGAGAGATTCTAGGGCTGGGGTTGGTGAGGGTGGCAGGGGGAGGCTTTGGTGGGCTCAGCGGGAAGGAAACGTGGGGGGTAGTGGTGTCACCTAGGCAGTGGTTGATTTGGGTGACAGGTTTATTTTGAAAAGACAGTTGAGATCAAGTGTTGTGGAGAAAAAACTGGGGAATGAGGGGACCCAGAGGAGGAGAACTGGATGGTGGGGAGCAGGTGGAAATGTAGGGAGAGCCCTGCTGGGGTGAGGGCTTAATGTGGTAGCTGGAGTAGAAATACCTTGCACCAGGCCGTTACCGTTTTGGGGAGCACGAGCGAGTGTGAGATTTGAGGTTGTGTGGATTCAGTGCCTCGGAAGTGAAGCTGGCGTCTGGCTGCACAGGTGTCTGCCACAGGCTCGGTGCTGGCATGGGGACGGCCTTATTAAAGGATGAGGACGACACTGGGTGCTGGAGGGGCCAAGGGGAGAGGCCAGGGGTGCCACCTGACAAGATAGCCTCTGCTAAGCTGAGGAGAAGTTCTGGAAGTATACTCAGCAGATTGGGAAGCCGTGGGTTGCGGATGGAGGGACATAGACTTTAGTGATGTTGGCATCAGTGAGACCTCACATTATAGAGAATTGGGGGGGAAGACTTGGGGTCCCTGGGGTGGAGGGGACCAAGGGAGCAGGACCTGCACTTTAGAGGATGGAATCTAAACCCTAACCCCAGAAGGGAAGGGCCTGGTTAGGAGAGGGGCCGCTGGGGCGTCTCACACCTTCACTTTGTGTGCATAACTCCCCTGGGCTGAATTTTTTAAAAAAGAATAGTTCTCATAACAACAGGGTTTTAAAATTTATAATCTCACTGGGCATGATGGCCCATGCCCGTAGGCCTAGCACTTGGAAGCTGAGATAGGAGCATCACCACGAGTTTTGAGGCCAGTCTGGGCTACCCTGTGAGTTCAAGGCCAGACTGGGCTACATAGTGAGACTGTCTCAAAAATTAATAATCAGTAATCTGTCATGAGTCTCAGAATCCAAGGGACAACCTGAACTTTCAAACACACTTGCTCCTACCTCAGTAAAAAGCCTGAAGTCCAGCAGGCTGAGGCAGGAGGATCATCTAGGTTGGAGGCCAACCTGAACTACACAGCAAGACCTGTCAAAAGACAAAAAACAAAACCACGTAAGGCCGAGAAGAAAAGGAAATCCCTTGGAAGTACTCAAAAGCACCGCTGCAACCTGTCTGAGGCTGGGTGTCCTGATGTGTCCTCCAGCTGCAGAGGCAGGCAGTCTGCTCTCTCCACCCAGGTGCGGCCCCTGCACACATTGCCACCTTGCCAACTGCCGGCATCCCCTGAGGTTTGGCAGCCTAACACAGACGCCCAACCCTTTGCAGAGCTCTCCCATGAGTGAGGGTGGACAGGAACCTGGTTCTGGTCTGCTCAGTAGCCCTGCAGGCCTGACGGTGGCCCTTTGACCAGGGTGTGGGTCAGCAGGGAGGATGTGTATGAGGGAGCAGGGGACAGTAGCGGGTAGCAGTGCTGGGGCTCACAGTGGCCTCGGTAGGAACAGGGAGTGGGGTGCCCTTGGGAGTAGATGACAGCATAGAGAATCGGGGTGGGGGTGTGGCACCATGACCGGCACAGTGCAGTTTGGCATTGTCGGGTTGGGAATTAGGTTGGATGAAGTTTGCAGCTGGAGATGAGATTTGTTCTGAGACAAGCATGGAGTTAGAAATACTTAAAAGTAGGGGTTTCGTTCACACACTTTCCTTTTTTGTCTTTTTTTGAAAGTGTCTCGCTATGCTGTTCAGGCTGGCCTTGAGCTCACTTTGTAGCCCAGGCTGGTCTTGAATTTGTAACCATCCTCCTGCCTCAGCCTCCCGAGTGCTGGGATCACAGGAGACTTTTATGCCAGAGCTTAAGGGAAGGGTGTTGGAGGAAGTGTGGGCTCAGGTCTGGGCTCCTGGGGGATGCTGGTGACATTTCTGGGGTGTCTGCATGGAGGGCAGGCACGGGATGGGAAGGAGCGGCATGGACAGCCCACGTCACCGGGAACCCTGCTTTGTCCCTGTTGCCTCCAAAGGTGGGTCATGAGCCAATGCCGCCCACCCTGGGCACCAACGTGCTGGGGCGGAAGGTCCTGTACCTGCCGAGCTTCTTCACCTACGGTGAGTGCCCGGGCGCGGGCAGTGGCGGGTCAGGGGTTGGGCAGGAGTGGGTGCCAGACTCTGGTCCCTGTCCTCCCTGCCAGTTCAGCTTGTGCCTGGAAATGGGGCAGGGGCTCAGTCTGCCCTCTGAGCAGCCCTTCTGTGCTCCTGCTTCCCCAGCAGGATGTGGGGCCCTCAGGCCCTTCCTGCTTTTGTGCCCCGAGGCTTGGGCCTCCTGGCCATGCATCTCTTGTCCCTGGTTGTCACTGCTGTGTCCCTGCCTTGCTGCTTGGGTGGCTGCATGGCTGCTCACTTGTACTTGCCGTGGGCCTGTCTACAGGGTCAGGTCACTGTCCCTTCCTGGCCCGGGTCCTACTAGCTCCTGACCCTGTCTGGATGGCCACCATGTAACCATTCGTCACCTGCAGGTGCCAGCTGGCCCAGGCCTCTTCTGGGCCTCCCAGCTGTCCCTCTCCCCATCTCCGCCCTGGCTGATGGCCACCATGGCGCCTCCTGTCACTGCGGCCTTTCTCCTGCTGTGAGCCGAGGCCAGATCAGCCCCATGTCCCACCTTCCGCCCTCCCTTGCACCCATGGGTGCCCGAAAGCATCCCCTGCCGGATGGCTTCCTCCTCACTCTGAGGGGGCAGCTTATCTGTCTTCCTCCGGCCCTGTGGAACTTCTGTGTCTTCCTGCGGGGAAAGGGGTGTCGCCCTCCCGGGGAGCAGCACCGCCTACCTAGGGAGGGAAGCCTGGGCCGTGAGAGAGGAGCCTGGAGCCCAGGCCACTCCACTCATGGCACACAGCCCCTGCGGAGGCCCATTACCCTGGACCCCCAGACCTGCAAAGACCAGCAGGGTTCTGACGGATCCTGCCCTGCTCCAAGAGGTGCGGTCTCAGCTGGATGCCATGAGGTGTGCTGGTCATCTCTGGACGCTGACTGGGACAGCTCCTGGCACAGTCACCCCAGTCTCGCTTGTCCTCCATGAGATGTGCCCACAGGTGCTAGGTGGTGTCCTGGAGCAGCAAACAGGGGAGGGGACTGTCCGGCCTGCCGTGGGGCCAAGGCGTCCCTGGGCTGTCTTCCCTTCTCGCCTTCTCCCTGAGGTCACAAGGGCGCCATCACCTGTGCCGTCTCTTTTTCCTCTTTTTTCTACCCAAGAAAAACATTTTATATGCTGCAGAAATTGGTTTTGACCTGCAGCTCTTATGTTGCTGAATTGAGAACATACCCGGGTTTGCCAAGTAGAGTTTCCAAAGCCAAAAAATAGAGCAGTGGAAGCAGTGGTTAGAAGTGTTGGGAAGGTTTTGCAGAGAAACAGGAGAGGAGCGCCTCGGTACCCGGGTCTGGCATGGGCTGGACCTGGCCCACGTGTGGGTGCCCTGGCCCCGGCGTGATACAGCCGCCTCTGCTGTTTTTCTTTTTGGGGGTGGGTGGGGTGCTACTGAGACCCCAACTGAGGACCTTGCACTTGCCAGGCAGGTGCCTGTGCCACTGAGCCGTGTCCCCTGCCTCCGCCTCTGCTTTCTTACAGCCAAGTACATCGTGCAAGTGGACGGGAAGATCGGGCTGTTCCGGGGCCTCAGCCCCCGCCTCATGTCCAATGCCCTCTCCACTGTGACCCGGGGCAGCATGAAGAAGGTGAGTAGGCAGAGCCAGGGGCCTCGGAGCTCCAGGGCCAGCCCGTACCCCCCCCCCCCAGCCCTGCTCCCTGCCCCAGGGTGGCTGCAGACCCAGGCCCTGGGTCTGGCGGGTGGGTGGCCCCTGCTCGCTGTCCTACTGTCCCACCCGGTGTGATGGCCTCCTCTCACCCCGTGCTCCAGGCCCAGGGGAGACGTAGGTGGCCTGGCCAGCAGCCACACACAGCAGGGGCACACTTAGAGTCCCACACTGGACCCTCTGTTCTCCGCCTCAGGTTTTCCCCCCCGACGAGATTGAGCAGGTTTCCAACAAGGACGACATGAAGACTTCGCTGAGGAAGGTCGTGAAGGAGGTGAGTGTCTGCAGTGCAGGGGTCCCCACTGTCTCTCCCCCAGAGTCGGGGTCTGGGTGGGTGCTGCGCAGGGGGGCTATATCTGGGACACTGAGACCCAGAAAGCTGCTTGGCATCCCCAAGCCCAGGCTGGGATCCAGCAGTGCTGGGGGGAGGGGCAGGGAAGCTGAGGACCCGGGAGCCCCAGATCCAGGCTGATGGGTCCCCGCCTTCTCCTGTCTCCCAGACATCCTACGAGATGATGATGCAGTGTGTATCCCGCATGCTGGCCCACCCGCTGCACGGTGAGCTGGGCGGGCGGCCCCTGGGGCTGTAGGTGGTGGGAGGGGTGCTTGGCTGGGGTCCTTTCCAGAGAGAAGGGGGCACCCCTCCTGCCAAAAGCCATGTTGCACGGTGGTGCTGCTGCACTGGACATGGTGCCTGCCTGTCTTGGGCATCAGCCACTCTGTCACCCCTGTGCTCTCTCCACAGTCATCTCGATGCGCTGCATGGTCCAGTTCGTGGGACGGGAGGCCAAGTACAGGTGGGTAATTCTGGGCTGCCACAGTGGCCCTGCTGCCCCAACGTCTGCCGGCACGGCCGCCTAGTCTCCAGCTCTGCACCCTCTCTGACCTGTGGCAGTCAGTGGGCTGCCACCTGGCTTCAGGAATGTGGTGGTGGCCTATGGTTGTATCCAGGGTTCCTTCTCTTGTTCCTGTCCTTGGTGACCTTCAGTGGCTTGCAGGAGCTGGGGTGGAGTTGGGCCCCCAGAATAGAAGCCTCGCCCAGTACTAGGCAGTGGGAGCCCCTGCCCAGCTCAGCTCCCTGAGTTCTGCTGTGATGGTTCCTCAAGCTGCTGCAGAGCTTGGATTCTAGCTCTTTCCATCCTGTGCTGAGAGCTGTCTTCCCTGTGGGCTTGCGGCCCTCTAACTAGCTGTGCCCCGGATGCCTAGACCTGCCGTGTCCCCGAGGTGAGCCTGAGGACAGGTGTCCCAACACAGCCTTCTGTGTGGCTCCAGGGCCATCCTGGTTACCTCCACTTGGTTTCCGGGTCCATTTTCTGTTCCATGCTATGAGGCTGCCACCCCAGGAAGCTTGCTGGTGGGAATGGTCTGCGCCCCAAACCTAGCGTGAGGTTGGCACACAGTCTGGGAGCTGGAGGACCTGGGTCCCTGCTGTGGTCTGGGAAGTCATGTGGCCAGAGCTGAGTCCCAGAGCCAGGTGGAGCTGCATCCCGTCCCCTCCCGGCCAGGGGCTGAGTGGGGCTGGTGGGCAGGCAGCGTCTGCAGGGACCAGTGACCCTGTCTGTCCTCCCTCCTCCACAGTGGGGTGCTGAGCTCCATCGGGAAGATTTTCAAGGAGGAGGGGCTGCTGGGATTCTTTGTGTACGTGAGTTGTCTGCCCCTCACCGGCATGGCTGTGCCCTCTACATACCCAGCCGTGGCTGCTGCCCTCCACTAACCGGGGTTCTGCCCCAGCTCCATGATGCCCCAGCACAGCCCACAGGAACCGTTCTGGGCTGGAGCATGAGCCTTGGCATGCGTGCATCCCTGGCACTGAGTGACCAGCACAGTGAGCTGGCCGCCCTGCTAGGCAAGGCCACCTGGCCCAGGGCTGTGGTGGACACAGAGCTGGAGCTTGTGAGCCAGGGGCCCTCACAGTCCTTGGCTTCACTGTCAGAAAGGACCGGAAATCTGTGATTTGGCCTGAGGTTCGCACGCTGGCAGCTCACAGGCTGACTCCAGCCAGTGCTCTGTGTCCTGGCAAGTTAGTTAACAGAGCATCTGAAGACATCTCGAGCAGAGACCCATATTTCTGGCTCCTCTGGAAGTCAGAAAATTGGGTTCCCCTGGGCCTGTGTTTCAGCTTCTACAGAGCAGCTGTCAGCGGGGGCTGGCGCTGTGTCCCTGGCAGGGCGCAGGTCTGTGGCCACCAAGGCTGCCCTCTCTGGTGTCCTCCGTCCGGTCCACTCCCCCTGTAAAGCTCACTCTGAAAAGGCGGCTGGGTAAGCATGCGGTGCAGACAGAACTCAGGGCCCCAGCTTGGCAAGTATGGTTTCCTTGAGGCTGGTCAGGGTCCCCTGGGTCCCAGGGTCCCGTGACAGACGGCTGCTGAGGACTCTAGATCAGATGCTGGCTCCATCCATACTCGGGGTCTCTCCACTGTGCTCGCCAGGTTGCAAAATGGGTTTACTTATACTCTCTAACCAAAAAACTCGAGCTCAGATTTGCTGACGCCCTCGGCAGGAGGTCGCTGAGGGTTCTGTTGGCCGTGCCTGGGGCATCTGTGGTTTCACACCTGGCACCTGGCATCCAGGTGCTAGGGGACAGCACAGGGCCAGCCCGAGAGCCATGCAATATTGCACCCACAGTGGCAGTTGTGCCAAGGTTGAGAACTCTGGCTGTATGCACAGTCTCACACGCACATGCACCTGCACACGCACCGGTGCACACATCTGAGTGTAAGCGTGGGGACTTTCCTTGTTCCTTCCTGAGACTTCAGACCTTCAGACGCTGTGCTTGCCTTCTTGTGGCACCGTTCACACTGGGTGGCTCTGTGACTCAGGCTCCCAGTTGCAGATGGGCTGTGATCTGGAATAGGTCCCACAGGTACACGTGCAGCACCCAGGAACGGGCAACAGGATGGGGGGTCACACCCAGCAAGGCTGGTTTGGTTGCTGTGGTTCATAACACAGATGCATTGGATCTTTTTTTCTGAATTCTTCAAATATTTTGTATTTTTTAAAAATTCAGGCCAGGGCTAGGTGTGGTGGCACATGCCTGTTACGTCAGCATTTGGAGGGTTGAGGCAGGAGAGTTGCTGGGATTTGAGACCAGCCCAGGCTACATAGTTTATCTAGACCAGCCTAAACCACACTGCGAGACCCTGTTTCAAAAAAAAAAAAAAAGTTCAGGCAGGATGTGGCACAGGCCTGTCATCCCGGCCCCCTGGGAGAGTAAGGTAGAGGAACCAAAGGCCCAGCCCAGCCGGGCAAGTTAGCAAGTCCCTGTCTCAAAATAAAAGAGGACTGGGGATGTAGCTCAGTGTGAGAAAGCTTGTGGTTCAATTCTCAGAACTGTAACAACAATAATAAATAAAACTCAAAAACCATCATCTTCCAGAGGCAAACAAGATTCTCCTCCAAGAGGAGCTCTCAGGCGCACATAAACACATTTTTTTTTTAATTTTTTGGCTTTTTTCGTTTTTTACCGGTACCAGGGATCGAACTCACGACTGCCTGCTTTTGAGGCAGGCGCTTATGCCGCTGAGCTAAATCCCCAGCCCCTAACACATTTCTAAAATACATTGTTTTTTAGTCTTTTAAAACCAAAACATTGCTTGGGACTCTTAGAAATCCTGTGGATGCTGCCTGGCTGCTCTCTGGGTTCAGTGTGGCTCCTGCTCAGAGCCCAGGCCAGGTCCCAGCCACGCAGCCCGGGTGCCAGCTGCCTGCCCGCTTGCCTCAGCACAGCGGCCGTGCTTCCTGCCATCCTTGATGGAGCCACACTTTCAGGCAGTGGCCATGGCACATGTGTCTTGTACCCCACTTTGAAAGGACACCCCGCGACCAGAGGCAGAGTGCACCGGGACTCACTGCTTATTTATGTTATGCTTGCTGGCCCCGGGGCTGTCTGGAGCTGTGTCCCTGCAGGTCACCGCCTTTCGAGTGGGCCACGCTGTGTGACCTTGTGGACTGGTCAGAAGTGGACAGCTCTGTGGAGCAAGGTCCTTCTGACAGAGCCAGTGACAGTTAGGGACAGGCCAGGAGTAGCTCTAAGGCACTGCTGCTTTTGCATCTGAAAATAGTGCAGGCGAGGTCAGGGCCCTGGATTTGTCATGTTTTCTGGTGCTCGGCTCCTAAGCTCACCTGGTCGTGGCATCGTGATGCTGGCTTCTGTGCGGGAACCTGCGTGACTCCTTCGCCCGCCCCGCCCACTGTGTGTCCCCACCTCGGCCGCTCATCTCTGCTTGTTTTGTAGTGGCCTAATCCCCCACCTCCTGGGCGACGTGGTTTTCTTGTGGGGCTGTAACCTGCTCGCCCACTTCATCAATGCCTACCTGGTGGACGACAGCGTGAGTGACTCCCCCGGGGGGCTGGGGAACGACCAGAATCCAGGTTCCCAGGTTGGTTGGAACAAGGACGCGTCCTCCTTTCCGTGTACACCTGCTGCCCAGGGTGTGGGGTGCTCCCGCCCATGGGTGAGAGGGGCCCCCCATTTGTGTCTGGAGTCAGCTCTGCCGAGGGGGAGATAAAACCCGGGATTGGAACCCGGATGGGGGGCGGGTGTTCGGCCATGGGCAGCTTGAGCCCAAGGAGGGCCCAGGGAACCAGATGAGGCAAAGAGGTGTAACCCTGGGCCTCTGTGTCACAGTGCACACCCTCAGACCCCTTCACAAACGCCATGGCCTTGGGGCCTGATGCACCATTGCTCGGGCACCCCGACAGGCCTACGGTCCCTGATGGACTGGAAATGGGCTCACAGACCAGAGGCAAGATGGGCCCCAGGGTTACCTGACAGGAGCCAGCAGGCTTGGGCAAGGTCTCTAGGCTATAGGGTCACACGGGGCTGGAGGAGCCCCCCAGGTTCCAGGCACAGAGGGTCAGTGAATCGTGTAAGGCTCAGCTCCTCAGACCTCTGGGGCTGGGCCATCCTCTGTTCCGGGAGGGGTCCTAGTGGCTGACTCAGTTGGTGACTCTGGGGGTGTCAAAGCCTCTGCCAGTGGGGACCCTGTCCAGCCACAGGCTTGGGTGGGTGTCTGACCTGGCTTCAAAGAGACACTGCCTCCCAGCTGCAGTGACAGTGCCACTGAGTGTGGCTCTGCACCTTCTGGGGCTGCCACTGCCACCAGAGAGCAGGCCTTGGTGCCATAGGGGTAGGCGCTTCCGGTCTGGAATCCAGTGCAGTGTCTGGAGCCAAGGGTGGTGTGCTGGGCCTCACGCGGCCTCTGGTCACCCCCAGAGAGCTGGGGACAGGCAGTGACCCTCCTTCCTGGTTAGGAAGGGCTGTTTCCTGTGCTGTGCTCAGCCGGATTTCAGAAGTGGGGTCTCGGTGTTGTCCCTGACCCAGAGGTAGATGGTTGGTGACCTAGGGTGGCCAGAATCTGGTGTGAATCTAGAAATCAGAATCTAGAAATCCGTCATTGTGTCAAGCCATGGACAGCGTCAGGCAGAGGCGGGCTGCACCCTGGGAGCCCACAGTCGCCTGGGGCCCCTTCCCTGTCACCAGGCTCTCTGAGCCAGTTTGCCCACTTTTGCCTCTGAGGCCTTGGCTCTGAGCCCAAGGCCCTGGAAGCTGTGAGCGGCTTTGAGTGGCAGACACTGCGCAGCATGGAGGGTAGGGAGCATCTGGGTCCCGGCTGCCATGGCAAACCGTGCCCCCTGTCTGTCTCCTCAGTTCAGCCAGGCCCTGGCCATCCGCAGCTACACTAAGTTCGTGATGGGGGTAAGTTGAGGCTACAGTGGGCCAGGGGCAGCCGGTGAGGCGGGTGTAGGGGTGCTGGGCCCAGAGTGAGGGGGACTTGCACTCAGGTGCTGCCTTTCAGATTGCCGTGAGCATGCTGACCTACCCTTTCCTGCTGGTGGGCGACCTCATGGCGGTGAACAACTGCGGGTAGGTGTCCTGCCTCGGGGACCCCCGCCCAGACTCCCCCACACTGTTCCTCTGGGCTTCCCCTTGTCTTACATGAACCTGGTTTCTGGGCGGGTGGCAGCTCCAAGCCATCCCCTCGGGGTCCCCTGCTGCCCTTGGGTCTCACACCCTCTCCTCCCCCAGGCTGCAGGCTGGGCTCCCCCCCTACTCCCCAGTGTTCAAGTCCTGGATTCACTGCTGGAAGCACCTGAGCGTGCAGGTGAGCGGCCCTGGCAGGAGGTACTGCCCTCTGCCCTGTCCCATAGTGGGCCAGCTCTGTGCGCTGTCCCTGGGGTGGGGGTGAAGCGGTCTCGGGATCCAGCACGGCTCAGCCAGTGGATAAAAGAGTACACTTGGTTTCAGGGCACCTTGCCTTACTCCAGGAAGGATCTGAGGTGGCTGAGCCTGGATCTGTTACAAATCACGCATCAGGCAGGGGATTGTGGCCCACACTTGTAATCTCAGCACACTGCAGGCCGAGGCAGGAGATTCACACAAATTCCAAGACAGCTTAGGCTGTACAGTGAGTTCAGCCTGAGCTACATACACAGTGAGACCTTGTCTCAGAGAAGCAAACAAGGAAAAAAATAAAATTCTGTGTCAGTGCCAGGCGCAGTGGCACATACCTGTGGTTCTAGCTACTCGTGAGGCTGCAGCAAGAGGGTGACTCGAGCCCTGAGTTGTAGCCCTTCCTGGCAATACAGCAGGGCTCTGTGTGTTAGATAAATAAGTAAAAATTATGCATCAGGCCGAGTCAAGGTGAGATGAGCTTGGCCCACGTGGAGGTAGCAGAGTCCAGGAACTTATTTTAAAAAAGAGGCTGAAAAGCTGGGCATGGTGGCACACGCCTGTAATCCCAGCACTCAGGAGCTGAGGTAGGAGTATCGTTGGGAGTTGGAGACCAGCCTGAACTGCATAGAGAGACCCTGTCCCAAAAAGACCAAAAAAAAAAAAAAAAAAAAAGGCTGAAAAGTTGATTTAAAAAGTGCAAGGTAAATGAATATGGGAGAAACCAGCTCTGCGGAGCAGCGGGCCAAACAGAAAGAGGGCAAAAGCGAGACTAAAAGTACCCTCCTCGTCTGGGGAGCAGCGTGGGCTGCGCGTAGACTCACGCCCTATACCCTTCCGGTAAGCCTGGTTGGAGGGCGCATGGCCCCAGAGCAGAGCAGCGGGGCTGAGTCCCCCAGCGGGGATGCTGCTGTGCTGGGCCCTGCGGGCCCTGAGGATGTGGCAAAGCTGAGCAGGCCGCTGGCAGGGTGTGGGAGCCCTGGGTGCTGGGGTTCAGCTCTGAAGCCCCGCTGGAGGTCAGGAGCCAGGCTTCCGCCTGCGGCACGGGGGTGCGGCTTCCTGCGGGTAAAATGCGCAGTGCCTGACCCAGTGCCTGAGGAGGATCCTGGGGCCCAGGCCGTCCCTGGGGTTCCCTGCCACCCTGGGATACTCAGACCGGAAGTGAAGCCACCCCGCCCCAGCCCGTGTTCAGTCACCCCTGGGGTGAGACCGGGCCTCCTCTCCCACCCACTCGTGTTTCCTCCCGTCCAGGGCCAGCTCTTCCGGGGCTCCAGCCTGCTCTTCCGCCGCGTGTCATCAGGGTCGTGCTTTGCCCTGGAGTAACCTGAGTCACCTGACCGCACCGCACAACCTGGCCCCTGGCTCGGCCTGACCATCAGCAGCTCCTCCACGCCCGCCTCCGTGTGTCTGTCCAGCTTTGGGGCCCGGCGGTCATCGGAGCGGAACCCCCTGCCCCCCACTCCCGTGCATTCCTCTGTGCAGGGCCGGTCCGGTCCCGCCCAGCACGTTGGGAGTGTCCTGCTGCTTCGTACCCGGGTCATCCCCTTTGTGAGGTCATGAGGTCGCTGTCACGGCCAGGCCCTCGCTAGAGGCGGACACCCGGTCCTGCGTCCGTTTTTCTCAACACTACTTTCCGATAGAGGGCCGCACTTCTGAACGGGAAATCATGGGACTCCCCGGAACGTGTCCCCTCATCTCACGCTTCTCCGTGTACCCGTGACGCCGCGCGTCAGCCCAGCCGCCCAGGTGTCTGTGAATCCACGGGAGTTAGGCGGATCGGTGTCTCTAGGGCTCCCCGGTTTAAAAGCCCCTGGTAAGATTGGACCCCACGCCCCTCTAATAAATGTATTCATGGCGATTTGGAGCTCTGTGGGGAGTCTGGCTTCTCAGTGGGGTCCTGCTAGCCATTGGGGTGAAGCTTCGGGGCGGGCTGCAGCCTGGAGCTATGGCGCAGGTCCAGGGCATCCCCTAGGGCTGCGGTGGCCCAGCGCTGGGACCTCTCGCCAGAGCGCAGGCCTCAGAGCCCCTCCAAGGAGCACTGGGTGAGTCACTCCTGTTGTGGAGACGACATAGAGAAGAGGGTTGGCAGTTCACAAGTGTCTGCCAGGCAGCTGGGTGTGCGGAGGGCCCTGGTGGAGGACAGCTGCACAGGCAGGGGGACACAAGCCAGAGGCATCTGTGGGAAGACGGGAAGCCCCAGGCTACACCTCCAGTGGCTGCCCCAGCCGGCCCTACCACCACCCCAAGTCGGCTGGAACCTCGGGTCCAATCACCTTCCGGAACGCCGCTGTGCTGTGAAGCTGGGGGGCATCCAGGTAGAAATCCTTGCTGGCACCCTTGAAGGTGACCCGTGTGGGTCATCGGTGCAGTGCAGCAACAGAAGCTGCAGACCCCTACCATGCGCCCCTGCCCGGTACTGGCGTTCTGAACAGACAGAGGTCCCGCTGGGGTCCCCCAAAGGTTTCTCTGCCCTGGCTCAGAGGGTGCCTGGTGACTGTCCCTCAGGTGGGGTTGCTTGTCCCCCTGGGGAGCTTCTGAGACGCCTCTGTGCACCCTGGTGGCACCATTTCCTTGCGTGCCGTCTCGGGCTCTCACTCCCTTTCTCTACCTGCGTGCTTTGTCCTGGCACAGCCGCGATTTTAAGGGTAACATTAAGCTGCTCACCTTTGAACCCCTTTGCATTACTTCCTTCCCATGACCCCCGATTCAGAATGCTTCTGTCTCCAGAGCCTGAAAGCAGTGGGCCCTTGAGAGCCCCTCTAAAAGCGAGGCCCAGATGCGGGAGCACATTCGCAGGCACAAGAGCGGGGCTGCGGTGGGCTTGGCCCTCGCTCTCTGCAAGTAATGCTTTCAGGGTGTTCTGTGGCCTGGGAACTAGAACACTGGGCTCTGGTCTGAGAAGCGGGTGGTGAAGGCTTGGGGATGGAACAGAGCCGTCAGCAGGAGGAGGGAGACAAAAGCAGCAAGGTCCCTAGGGGAGCCAGTCACTCACTCCCTGCCCTCCTGGGAGAGCTTAATCCCACGAGCGAGGTAGCAGGGCCTCTGGGCAGGAGTGCCAGCCCGCACCAAGCCCCCCTGGCAACTCAGGATCCTGTGCTGATGTCCCCTACCTGCCCACCTACTGTCCCCTGCACAGCTGTCAGGGATACCACACCCTGTGTTCTTGTTCCCAAACAACAGGCTTCCCCAGGTCCTAGGCCTGACCTTAGTTCTGCCAGGTGACAGGTGGCCTGAGGACTGCGGACAGATGCCCTTGTTTTCCAACGGGCAGTGATGCTGCACCAAAAGTGAGAGACAGGTCCGGAGGCTCTTGCACCTGACCACCCCCACAAGCCCGAGAAGAGAAGCAGCTCCCCAGAAATGTAGCTGCCCTAACGCAGACATCAGTCAGCATCCTGCACACCACAGAATAAAACACAGAGCCACGTGATCGTCTCAGACAGAAAAAGCCTTTGACGGGACCTCAGCCAGATAACAGCAACTAGGAAAAAACAAGATTAACTTTGGCAATTAATTCTGGTACAATACAGAACAGAATCCTAAACTTACAAAATCAAGATATCCACTCTGGTCACACCTGTCCAGGAGAGTCCAGCGAGGGCAGTTAAGTGAGAAAATGAAAACTATTGGATTAGAAAGGAGGGAAACCTGTGGGCGACACGATCTGGTATATAGGAAACCCAAAGGGAGCCACTACAATTACGTAGCTAGTAAAAGTTTAGCAAGGGTGCTTGCAGAAGACAAGATTGATAAATTATTTTTATATATTGAACAGCGAACCTAATAAAAGTTTCATTTATAATAGCATCAAAGATAAAAATACTTGGGGCTGGAGGTTTAGCTCAGCGGCATAAGCGCCTGCCTTGCAAGCAGGCAGTCATGAGTTTGATCCCTGGTACCGATAAAAAGGAAACACCCCCCCCCAAATGGAGACAAGTCACAGGATGGGAGAAACATTTGCAAATTCTTTTGCTTTTTTTTTTTTTTTTTTTTTTTGGATACTGGGGATCAAACTCATGACTACACGCTTGCAAAGCAGGCACTTATGCTGCTGAGCTAAATCCCTGGCACATTTGCAAATCTTATATGTAATAAAGGACTTGTATCTCAAATATATAAAGAATTTCTACAGCTCAACTATAAAAAGATAAATTTCACAAGATGTGATCAGAGATGTCTCCAAGATATTCCAGCAGCCCTTAAGCATGTGGAAAGATGTTAATTATTATTAGTTGCCAGGAGAAATGCAAAGTGAAACCATAGGGAGATAGTGCCTCACACCCACTAGGGTGCCAGCCGCTCAGCCAAAAAATACACAATACCCAGTACTGGCAAGGATATAGGCAAATTAACCCCATGTACTTCCTGTGAGAATGTGAAAGTGTCTGGGGGTGCTCCTGAAGTTCCAGTTACCATTTGATCCACAAACTGCCCCTTAGGTGTAAGCTCAAGTGAACTGAAAATGTGTGTGTGTTCATATAGAAACCAGCACGTGCCAAACCTCGCTCCTAACCCTAACCCAGCAGCTGCCTGGGGACCCACGAGGCCCCTGGCTTTCCCTTGGCTGCCTGTGGCTGCAGGCAGGGAGGCTGAGGAAGGTCAGTAGCCTGCCCTGGGTGGGGCACAGCTGGGCCCCCAGGAAGCCTCACAAACACTGAGACTCCCAGCTCTCAGACAGGCTTTATTCAGGAGTTGGGGCTGCTGCCCTTCCTGGTCTCTGCCTCCTCTCCCTAGAACCCCACCCACTACTCAGTTGTAGGGGGCAGAAAGGCTCCAGATCCCCAGCAGCTAGCCAGGCAGGCTGTGTGCCCAGGCTGCAGCCAGCCCTTCACATGGCTTCCGCCAAGGAGCTTTTTGTTTGAGGGGCTGGAGACATGGTTGGGGGTATAGTGGCCAAGCTGTGACCTTTGCACCTGGAAAAGCAGGAGGCATTGGAGACAACCCTGGGGTGGAGGAAGGGGCCAGGGACTTGGAAGAAGCCAAGTGGTTTCTGGGAGAAGCCTGAGGTCCCTGGTTCTGAGAGCGCAGGCTGTGGTCACAGAACACCAGGCACACGTGGCCTGGACGCGGCGCGGAACAGCAGCCAGCCAAGGGTGAGCTCCCCAGAAGGGTCGCTGCTGGGGTGCACCAGGGGCTAGGGGGACAAGGTAGCTGGCCTGGAACGTGGCCAGAGCTGGGGTGCAGGGGGCTGCAGGACCACAGAGCAGGACCTGCCCAGGAAGCTGTGGCCTCTTACTGGAGAAAAGGCAACCCAAGGCAGGCATGGGGCCTGGGACTGCCCACCAGGTCTCGTGTAGAGCGGTGGCCTCTTCAGAAGAGTCCGGCCCCCAGCGGGAGAGACAGCAGCAGTAGTCCCAAGGAGGGGGCCCACGTGTGTCCCGAGCTGAGGCTGGGCTCCCCGCCAAGTTTCTCAGGGTCCTCTGCACCTGTGGGAAGGAAGGAGGGGCTTGGCCTCAGCCTGGAGACACCTGTGCCTGATGCCCCAGCCACAGCCATGCAACAGGTGGCAGGCGCATGCGCCACCAGCATAGCCTCTGCGGGGGCAGGATGCCGACAGTGGGCCCAGGAGGGCAGGTAGCATGCCTCGGGCCTTACCTGGCAAGGAGGACTTCAGGGCCAGGGTCCGCCCACCCATGGCATTGCCGGAGGCAGAGTCACTGGGGAAACTGGGCAGGGACTTAGCGTGGCCCAGGTGGACCAGCGTGGCCTGCTGCTCACCCAGTTTGGCCTGGGCTGGCAAAATGGAGGCTAAGACTTCACTGGGAGGAGGCGACTCGGCCTCCCCTTCAGCCTGGCTTGGGGCTGGCAAAACAGAGGCCAAGAACTCACTGGAAGGGGGTAACTCGGCCTCCGCCTCCACCTCCTCCAGGGCACGGGTTAGGGGCTCCCCCGTGGGATGCTCAGAGCCTTCTGGCCTCGTGGGGGGTGCGCTTGTCTTGCTCACTACTTCCTCGGCAGCTCTCAGGACAGAAGCGCGGGTGGACCTGGGGAGGGGCCCTGGGCCATCCTCCAAGACAAGCAGGGTAGGCGTGGCCAAAACGATAGGGACCTCAGAGTTCAAGGAAGGCGGAGCCTCTGTTGCCACGAAAGCGGGCTCTTCCGTTGCTAAGGGACGTGGGGCCTGTGTTCCCACCGTGGGCGGGGCCGTCGTTGCCCCGGAGCCCGAGACATCGGGCGCCGAGAAGCCTGGCCTCTCCGTTGCTAGGGAAGGAGTGTGACTTTTCCCAGGGCCCGAGGCTTCATCCCCCGCGGTAGATGGGGCCTCAGTCACCTGGGGAGTCAAATCCTGCGTCTCTTCCGGGCCTCTGGTGGGTTCTGATGAGATAGACAAGGCCTGGCATTGGCGCTGCACACGGGACTCGCTTCCCTCGCCCTCTGCCGCCCCCACATTTGCCTCTTCATCGGGTGCCCCCTCACTAACAAGAAAAGCTGCTCGCCGGCACTGGCAATTGCTGCACCGCCTCTTCCTCTTTGATGCTCTGCGCGAGTTCCAGTACCTTTTCCCGCGCGCAGGAACATGACCACGCCCACCGACGAGTCCCCGCCCACCGGAGGCTTTCACTGGCCACGCCACCCGCGCACGCGGCACGGTGATCAGAGCCTCAGCCCTGGGCTCTGCCCTCGGACTGTCCGGGGCTTGAAACGAGCTCGCATGGGGTGGCAGAGCGCCAAAGCAGCTGCTCACAGACAGCAGGCGACCTCTGCGGGTCCCCAGGAAGACATGCGGAGTATGTGTGACGCGGGGGGGGGGGCTGGATCTCCTCAGCCAATCGGCGCCGCCCCCGCTCCACGATGACGCCACCCCATGGCCTGTCCCCGCCCTTCCCTGCGCTGACTCCGCCCCCGTAATGATCACCAACTCACCGCACAGGGCATTCTGGCAGCTGTAACCCGGCGGACACTGGGAGCACGGTGTTCCTTCCCGGTAGGGCCTCTGCCCTTTCACGTTCCCCCTGCAGGAGGCGAGAACGCTGTTGGGGCCTTTGGTCCCTTCCAGCCCTGCACCCTCCCTGTCCGCCTATGCCCCTGTGTCTCCGCCTTCAGTCTGGACTTGCTGGGCATCTTGAGCGCCCCGGGCTCTGGTCGGACACCGCAGGGCGCCCCCTCCCCCCACAAGGTCCCCCCTCCGCACTCACGGGGGCTCGTAGTTGCACACCAGCAGGTGGATGTTGGTCTCCTCGACCCCCTGCAGCGTCTCACAGAAGTGGGAGCCGCAGCCGATCCTCTCGGTCTTGCTCCAGACCACCTGGATGGAGCGAGGGGAGCCCCTCACTTAGCCCAGGGCCGGCGCGCTCCCTTCCCTCTCGCTCTGCACCGGCCTCCGGGGGTGGGGAGGGAGGCGTCCCCAGCCTGTGAGATCCAAGTCCACAAAACTAGTTGGGATTGGGGCTGGGGATTTAGCTCAGCGGAATAAGCGCCTGCCTTGCAAGCAGGCAGTCGTGAATTCGATCCCTGGTACCGATAAAAAGGAAGAAGATAAAGGGGGGGGGGACTAATCGGGATCAGGGGGTCCTTCCTAAGGATCTGCTGTCCCTTCCCAAATGATGCCGGGTTCCCAGGTCTCTCCCTCTTTCAAACTTCCTTCCCCTCAACTCCAGGGCTTTGAGACACCTTCAGTTTTTTCCTGTGGGCTCTTCCTAGATATCTTTGCATTTTAACCAACGGGCATATGCAAAGGAATGAATCTCTTAGATATTGGCTACAAAAAAAGTTCAAGGAACCCAAGAGGAAGAGGTGTTTTCCACGTGGCCCCTTCCCACACTGCAGCAAATCAAGGTCTGGCTCTGCCTGTTGAATGGAGGTTCCCTCCTAGCTGAAATGAGCCCTGTGTAAAGCACAGAATTTAAACCTTCGCATGATGCCCTGGGCAAGACTAACACCTTCCCTTTGCTGTGTCTGGGCCAGGAATCTTTCTGCTTAAATCGGCTCCCGGGGAGAAGGCAGCCCACAGTGCTGTGTTCCAGCCAGAGGAAACCCGGGCGGAGCTGGGCAGGCAGTCTCCCTCGGGGATTTGGGCAGTTCCAGGGGGCTCAAGAGCCTTGAGGTGGGTGTTGGACCTACAATTTCCTGATGTGGGTGGGGTGGGTGCCTTTGAATTTCCTTCCCTGAAACACACTAAAAATACCACCCAGAAAAGCACCAAAACTTGCAATAGGGGTGTGGGTAGGAAGGTGATTGGTTGCTTTTGTCTGCTGTTATTGTTTGTACAAGAATTGAGAGGACAGGAAAAAATGAGCACCAATGTGACCTCCCTTCCACACCCCACTTATCACCGTTAACCCAAACATTCACAGTTGGGGGGGGCACTGGAGAAGCTAGAGACAAGGAAAGAGACCTGAGAGGCAGGAAGTGCTTAGAGCCACCGCCCCGAAACCTTCAGGCAGGGATGGTCAGACATAATTTTTCCTGAGTTTCTTTGTTGCTTTGGTTTTCTGTTTTGTTCTGTTTTGGATATTTTGTTAAGTTTGTTTGATGGTACTAGGTGTTAAACCCAGTTGCAATGCCCCAGCCTCAGCCTGCCTCAGCTTCGCAGAGTTGTGGGATAACGGGAACTGGCCATCACAGCCACCTATATGTTCTTATATAGAGGGGTTTTGTTTTGTTTTTGTTTTTACTTTGAGGCAGGGTCTCAGTGTAGTTCAGGCTGTCCTTGAACTCCCTTTGTACCACTGGTTGGCCTTGATCTTACAGGCGATCCTGCCTCAACCTTCTGAGTGCTGGCATTACAGGCATGGCCAGGCTTTTGTATAATTTTTTAAAGCAAAAAAAAAAAAAAAAAAAAAAAAAAAAAAAAAATCACACAAGATTGTCTCTGTGCTCTTTTGTCTCTGGCACATCAGAGATCGTGAATTAGGCACCGGGATGAATGTAAAAAGAGCAAGTGAGCCCGGTGTGGTGGTGCCCACATCTAAATCCTGTACTTAGGTGGCCGAAGTGGGAGGACTGGCAGGAGTTCAAGGCCAGAGTGGACCCTGTCTCTGAGGCAGGAGGATGGCTGTGAGTTCGAGACCACCTGGGCTACAAAGGGAATTTGGGCCGCTGTCTCAAAAAAGAAAAAAAAAAATAGGGCCATGGATATAGCTCAGGGGCACAGCACCTGCCTGGCAAGTGCAAGGTGCGGAGTTCGATTTCCGGTACGAAAATAAACAAACATGTAAAGCCACAGAGAAGGACAAGAGCCAAGCTGGGGTTGGGGCTGGGGATTTAGCTCAGCGGCATAAGCGCCTGCCTTGCAAGCAGGCAGTAGAGAGTTCGATCCCTGGTACCGATAAAAAGGAAAAAGACAAAAAAAAAAAAAAAAAAAAAAAAAAAAAAAGCCAAACTGGGGGTACTTAAAGCCAGGAGGGAGGCCAGGGGAGACAGGACCGCTGGGAGCCGTGGCCCCACCCCCTCCCACATCTGGCCCCGCCCCTCACGCATCTGGCCCCGCCCCCGCCTCCACCGCCCGCACCTGAGTGTAGTGGCCGCACATCTGGCCCGCAGCGCAGGCCGCGGTGCTGAGGTTGTAGTGCTCGCGCTCGTGGTGCCACTCCTCCATGGCCAGCGGCAGGTCCAGGCCCTCGTCCGTGATGGCGAACAGGTTCTCGCCCCGCCGCCCGCGATCCTTGTTGTGGCCCCACACGCACTTCTGGGCGTAGGCTTTGGCGAAGGCCGCCAGCTCCGGGTCCCATCGCTGCGGGGTGGGGGTAGGGGCAGGTGAGGGTCCTGCCGTGACCTGTGACCCCGCCCTGCCCCTGCGGGCTCCAGGCCCTGGATGTCGGACTTGGGGCCCGCCTGACTCTCAGAGTGGTGGAAGGATTGAATGGCATCATGCACTCGCGAGTGGTGATTTATATCTTCTGTGTCCCTCTGGGGCTGTGGGCCCTGGACACCTTGAGATGTCCCTGGAAATGCATAGGTGAGGGCTTGTTTATTAGGCCCACTTCCCTCTCTGGCTGGGTGCCGGCACCTCCTCCCTCTCTCTCCTTCCCATCCAGGCCAGGGTGCCCCCATGCCTATCCCCTCTCCAGGCTCCCTCACAGGACAACTCCACTTTCCCCAGAGGGGCCCTCAGGAGAGACTTGGGGAGGGGGTGCTACGCCGGGCTGGAGGACAGACGGAGGGAGGAGGAGGAGGATGACCTAGGCAGTGGGCCCAGAGGACAGAGGGAGGCCTGGATCCCATTAGCCGCTGTCCTGGCCTCTCCTGGAAGTGATGTTCTGGCAGCCACTCTTGCTCCACCCTCTGGGGGTCCAGCCAGCTTCAAGAGCCAGACGGCCCATAAAGCAGCAGGGCTGGGGTGACACTGAGGAATGGGGTCCGCCCGCTCCCCACCCACTCAGGGCTTGGAGCAGCTGCCAGACTGCGCTGGGAAATCAGGGTGGAGTAGCCCCACTGTGTGCCCTTGGGTGGGTCCCTCTCTCCGTCTGGGCACTTCTGTCTCAAGTCAGTGGTCCCTGAAGTTTTCTGGACTCTGGCATAATGGCAGATGGGGACCAGGATCAGGTGACTCGGAGGACCTGAGGCTGGGGGACCAGCTGTCAGCTGCTGGGGCAGGGAGCCTTTGTCTGCAGTGTCAGCCCCGGTGCTGGGGCTGAGTGGTATTTGTTATCTATTGGTGATCAAGACAAGTCCAGGCTCCCTTGCAGACGGCCCAGCAGTAAGGTCCACCCACACGTGCTGAATGCCCCATACAAAGTTCCTGGCTGTGCGTCTTACAGCATCTCAATCTGGACCCAGAGCCTGGTGCAGAGTGGAGGTCGAGGTTGCAGAACTGCCCACAGCGGCCACACACGGCCACTACCTGGCAGCCAGGCCCCTACCCTTTCCCTCTCTCAGTAGTCCTGGGCACTGTGCCAGCACTGGGGCAGCAGCGAGAACCAAGAAGCTCAAGTTCACGGGGCCATCAAGCCAAGTGGGCCACCGAGTGGTGAAGGGCGGCACAGTGGAGTCACTTTGGGCGCCTCCCAACCGGCAGGGCCATCTGGCCCAGGCCAGGTCGGAAGAGGGGACACGGGGCTGTGTTAGAAGGTGGAAGCCGCGCACCCAGCTGGGAAGCCCTTGTCTGTCCTGGTCTTGGCGTGACGGGGCGGGACGCAGCCTTCCAGGAGCTGAGTGAGTGGCGGTGAGCTGGTTAGAGCCACTGAAGGATCTGGGGCAGGGTGAGACTCACACGTCAGGTCATTCATTCTGGTAGCGAAGTTCAAGGGGACTCAGAGGGGCCCAGGTAGCAGGTAGGGGGTGTCCTAGGAGTCTCTGGACACAAAACCTGAAGCCCGGAGCTGGATTGTGCCAAAAGGTGGGTGGGCGGGCAGTGTGTGGTCTGAGCAACATGGAGCCCCCTGGGAGGTAGCAGTGGTGGCCGGCAGAGCCAGCCCAGGAGGAGGGGAGCAGCCAGGAGCCCTCCGTCCCAGGTGCCCATCTGCTCCACAGCGTTAGCCCCGCTCTACATTCATGTCCCGAGCCCCAGCTGCTGCCCTGAGTTCTTCACGAGCGCTGGGCCATTTAACCCTACGGCTGTCACGGCCCCTTACAGACAAGCACACGGAGGACAGGGACCCCTAGCTAAGAAGAGGCAGAGTCTCTGTATGTGGGGGCCGGGGTACACCTCCATCCCGCCTCCCACTGCATCCACCTCTCCGAGACCTCTTCCCCTAATGACCTCGGTGCTTGCCTCGGTGTCACCCAGCTCCCAGCCCCAGCCAGCCAGGCCTTGGTGCAGCAGGGTCTGCAGATGGGGAGACTGAGGCCTGCGTCCTGGGCCCAGTCAGGGAGCTGGTGGCAGGGCCCGTGCTGCACCCAGGGCTCCCAGGTTGGTGTCTGCAGTCCCCCGTCACCGGCCAATGGCTGAGCATGGCAGTGCCTCACTGAGGTACATGTGGGCCCTGCGAGCCATCCTGTCTGGCTCGGGCAGGAATCACCACACCCTTCTTTGCATCAGGTCAGGAGGCCTCTGAAGGGAGGGGGCCCTCGGGGCCCCTGAGGCTGAGGGACTGGCCTGAGGTCTCTGCTCCTGGGCACCAGCCTCGAGGGCTGCTGAACCTGGCTCACCAGAGCCACCTGAGTGAGGGTTCAGACCTCAGGGCAGGAAGACAAGAGAATCTCTTCCTTTCCCTCCTGCCCAGCCTCGTCCTCAGGTCGCCTCCCTGCCTGGCAAAGGTGGCCTCTCCTCCGAGTGTGGCTTCCGCCCACCCTCTGTATCTAGGAGCGTGCACACACTCAGTGCCTGTCTGTCCTCTCCCTGGTACAGGAATGGCACATTCATTTTCTGTTTCCTGAGACGCCTTCCGCTCTCCGCATAATCTGTGAGATTCGGCCCATGTGGGTACACATCCAGGTCAAACCAAGCCCCCATTTTACAGATGAGGAGCGAGAGGAACCAAGGTTGGAACCAAGGGGTGCAGTGCACCCTGTGCTTCTGGGCATGCTCTCAGGTACCTCGTAGGCATCTCCCTCCTGTCGTGGTCCCCATCCCCTTTCCTCCTTGCTTTCTGTCCTCGGAGGGCCTCTAAGGGACCCCTTCAGAGATATCCCTGCTCAGGGCACATGTGTCACTCTAGGCCTCAGTCTCTCCATCTGTATATTGGGGCTGTTTTGGGGACCTGCATGTACTCACCATCTGCCGCATGTCTGAGGCGGGCGGGGACACTTGGGCACGGTAGAGATTGTGCAGCTGGACCATCAGCTGTTTTTCGTCCTCTTTGAGGGCTGTGGAGGGGCTGGTGGTGACCAGTAGCAGCAGCAGCAGCAGCGGTGGTGGCAGCAGCAGTGCCCAGAGGCCACAGGAGCTGTGCATGGTGGCTTGCAGCTCTGCCTCTCCCACCCGGCCAGCAGCTGGATTTAAAGCCCTTCCCAGGCCGGCACCTCCCCGGCTGTGTCTGCGGCCCGGCCCGCCTAGCTCACACAATGTCTCGTGGCGCCGGTGCCTTGGGTCCCGACCAGAGAGCAGTCCACTCCCCGAGCCCTGGCAGCCGCCTCCCTTTTCTTGGTGGCCGGGGTGCAGGCCAAGCACTGTGTGAGTCCCGAGGTCCTTCCCCAGCTGGGAGCAGGTCCTGGGGGGTCAGAGCCCACGAACATCTGCACAGCTGCGGTTGGCAGCCTCGGGCCACACCCGTGGGTGCTGGGGGCAGAGAATAAGAGGAAGCCTGGCTCCTGGGGACCGGCTGAGATTAGAAGGGTGGGGGTGATAAGGAGGAGGGTGGGAGGCTGGGCCTGGCCCTCGCTCTGTGTTTCCTGCAGCATCTGTGACACTCACAGCACCTGCCTCTGGGCCGAGGAGGACTCAGTGAGAGCTGGTGGCCCCGAGGACCAGCATGGCCACTGGCACTCCGAGGTACACAGCGAGCATTGCGTTCCTGGCCCTGGCTGACCCCAGTGCCCCAGGGAGGAGGACCTGGCATGTCCTGCCCTGGCTGTAGCCCACCTCGGCTCCCCGTGCTCTGTGGAAACGCTGCTTGAGATGCTCTTTCAGAAACGGGGTGCTGGGACCTCATTCTTGGAATCTGTCTATTTCTCCAATTAAAAGGGCAGAGGCTAGATATGGTGGCCCCATACCTGTAATCCTAGCACTGGGAGGCTGAGGCAGGAGGATCACCACAAGTTCCAGCCCGTCGTGGGCTAGACACATCAAGACCAGCATGGAGGACGTAGTGAAGCCCTGTCTCGAAAAGAAGAATGAGAGGGGAGGGGAAGCAGAACATGGGGCCAGTGAGCCAGGGGAGGAGGAGCTCTGAGGGGAGGGCACAGACAGAAATGGGGTAGCAGCCAAGCAATCGGGGGGACCCTTGCAGCCGGCAGCTCAGGGAACGGGGCCTGGAATAGAAGCTGGCTTTGGAAGAGTGCCACGAACTCCCTTCTGGGGCTCTGGGAAGGACAGAAGCAAAGCAGCTTGGATTCCAGGGTGGGGGACAAAACCAAACTGTCAGTGCTGTTATCTCCACAAAGCTTCAGGGCACAAAACCACACCCGCAAACCCAGTTCTCTCTTTACAGTGACTAATCCAACAAGAAAGGCAAACAATTCCATTTGTGACAACAATCAGAGTAAAATTCTTGGAGGCTGAGGCAGGAAGATTGCCAGGAGTTCAAGGCCAGCCTGGGCTACATAGTGAGTTCAAGGCTATTCTGAACTGCCCGGCAAGATCCTGTCTCAAACAAAAAAGTAAAATTCTTAGGAATAAATTCAGTGAGGCAAAAAAACATGTATGTTGAAAACTATGAAATGTTGCTAAAAACAACCAAAATCATACCAAGGGTTAGGAAGCACGATATTGTTACAAGATGTCAACATTACCTGACTCAGATTCACTGAAATCCCTATCAAAACCCCAACGATGGATTTGCTGCAGAAACTGAACAATCCATCCTTCAGTTTCGTAAAGCACCCCCAGAGACCCCAGTAGTTAATCCTGAAAAAGAGCAAGTTCAGAAGCCTCTCACTTTCTGATGTTGAAACTTAACCACAGCGGGGCACGGGGCGCGCTGTAGTACTCGGGAGTAATCCCAGCTCCTCAGGAGGCTGAGACAGGACACTCGCTCAGTTTGAGGCCAGCCTGGCGAGCCCTGTCTCTAAGCCATGCTTGGTGCCGAGCAAGTGCAAAGCCCTGGGTCCCACCATCGGTACTTAAAAAACAGCAACAGCAGGAGAACCAAACCACAGTAATCAAATGGTTTGATTACTGACATTTAGAACAAGAGGACAGAACAGAGAGTGCAGAAATAAACGCACATGAGGTCACCTGAATTCTGGCAAAGGGCCAAGGCTACGGGGCGCAGGAAGGGACAGTCTTCTCAGTAAGACTGAGGGGAAGGGCGTCTGTGTACAAAAACCAAAGTGAGACCCTTCTTATATGCCAAAATTAAATAAAAATGAACCAAAAACCTAAACATCAAGACTACTACTCCTAGAAGACGAAGTGGGGAAACTTCATGGAACTGCATGTGGCAAGGGTTTTCGGATACAACACGAAAAGCAGAAACAGGGACAGCAATGAACTGGGCTTCCTTAAAAATAACAACTTCTGTGTCTCCAAGTGGAAGGGCAATGCACAGAATGGGAGAAGACATTTGCAACTCAAGCAGCTGAAAAGGAATCCGTCACTAGAACATACAAAGACGTCTTACTGCTCAACGACCAAAAATAAGCCACCAGACTATAAAATGGGCAACGGGCTTGAACAGACGTTTCTCCAGAGAAGACAGACAAGTGGCCCATGAAATGTGCTCTGCGTCACTGCCATCAGGGGAACACGGATCGGTATAAGGGACACTGCTCCATACCCATCAGAACAGCTCTGTGTCTGTGGTACGGGGCACTAAAGTCAGGGCTCTGCACTGAACACATCCCTGCTATTTAATGTCTCACTAAATTATTAAGTTGCCCGGGCTGGGTACCAATTTATAATCCTCCTGCCTCAGCCTCCCACAGTGCCAGAATTACAGGTATGCACGCTCATATCTGGCTTGGAATGGCTACTATTAAAAAACAATACTGACAAACACAGAACATAACAGATATTGGCATGAACGTGGCAGGGAAGCCTTTGTGCATTGCTGGTACAAATATTAAACAGTGTGGCCACTGTGGGAGATGGTGACCGTGTCTCAAAGGATCACTCACAGGAAGTAGTCAGAAGTTCTCTGCTGGGTGTGTGTACACCCAGAGAATGAAAGGCAGAGACTCTGTGTACACCTGTGTTTCAGAGCAGCGTTACTCACAGCAGCGTAAAGATGAGAGGAACACACAGGTACCTCCACAAAGGGCCAGGGTCACAGAGCAGCGTTTACAGGAGTGGCACGTGTTACTTCCCCTTCAAAAGGAAGCAAGTCTGACACATGAATCTTGAAGATGCCATGTCAGATGAAGAAAGCCAGCATGGGGGAACAAATGCTCCCCGATCCCACGTGAGCGCAGAGCCCAGGGGCAGCAGGACCACAGAGGCACCGCAGCTGCTGCCACCTGGTGCCAGCAAAGCAGGCTTCGGGCACAGGTGCGCTCATTGAGGGACAGCTCTGTTCCCGGGCTGGATTCGAGGTTGAGAGGGCATCAGGGTGATGTTCCGGAAGGTCAAGTGCTGTAGATTTTCTTACATGAACAAACAGGAACAAATACAGCATTCCCTGAAAATAAACCCAATGGTGTCTTTTGGAGAAAAAATTAATATAAAATTAATAATAGATCTGGTCTTATTTTCAGGGAAATATGGTACATGGTGAGTTCAAGGCCAGCCTGGAATATACAATGAGATCTTGTCTCAAAGAACATATATATGTCTATTTATACTTCCGCACACACACACATATTTAAACGAGTGGTAGCTGGTTCATGAACTTGATTGTCTCTGCAATTCTGGTTGCGAACTGAGTTGGACGAGAACCAAATCAAATGAACATTAGGTTCGGTGTTGACCTAACGGGGAAATTTGATTTGGTTCTCATCCAGTTGGTTTTGCAACCAGAATCTTGGAGAAAATCCAGTTTGTGAATGGAAGTGTGTGTGTGTGTGTGTGTGTGTGTGTGTGTGTGTGTTGTCCTTCTCTCCTTTAAACTGTGGGTGTTGTCTACTGAGTCTCAGCAAGGAGACAGTGACAAAGACAAATGAGTGTGTTATCCAGCCGAAGACGAGGCAACAGGAACACTCTCAGACACAGAAAACACAGCATGTGGGAACCATCCATGACCCTTCCTTGGTGTTGGAATCCAGCCAATCAAAAGTCTAAAAATAGCCAGGCTGGTGCACACCTGTCATCCCAGCACTCAGGAGGCTGAGGCAGGAGGATCACTGTGCGTTCAAGGCCAGCCTGAACTGCACAGCGAGACCCTGTCTTAGTAAATAAAATGGAAGCCTTAAACAATCCTAGATTTTTACTCTTCCCATGTCAGCTTTGTTTAGGAACTAATATTCTCTATGGGGAAGAAACATCTTCTCAAGTTCCTTTTCTTGTGTTACTCACATAACATTAGACTTACGGCTTATTTTTGAAGCAGGATTGGTCTCATTTCAATAGAGCTGTTTTTATCTGGTCTTCCAGCCAGGAATCCCCGGAGACTCCGAGAACGCGGCTCACCTAACGTTTATTGGTTGTTTCCAGGTGAAAGTTTTCACAAGACCCTCGAGCTTCAGTCCTTTAGATTGAGACTGCATCATTTTTACAAAAATAAAGTCATTTCTCTGAACCAGTAAGGGAAATATCTGTCTTCGGCCTGGTGTCCAGGGGCTCCTCAGGTTGACTGGCCGGGAGGGCCGCGGCATGAGTCACGCCCGGGGAATGTGCAGACACAGGACAGAACGCAAACTAAGCAGAAGTGGACAGATGAGAGCTCGAAAACATCACAGAGGGTGAGGGTTCAGACAGCCTGGGCGCGGCACGGCTCAGTGGCGGAGCGCTTGCCAGGCGTCTGCAAGAGCCTGGGCTCCGTCCCCAGCGCTACAAAGAAGGATCAAATTAAAAAAGAAAAACTGAGCCTGGATGCAACTTGACTGACACATTCAGTGCGATTCCCTGTCCACCTCAGTGCACCCAGGGCCTGGGGGCTGAAGGAGGGGTCACAAGTTTAAGGTCAGCCTGGATCACTTAGGGAGACTCTGCCTTCATAACAACCCACAGGCTGGGGAGGCCCGGAAGTTGTTTGAGGCCCTTGGGTTTAATCCCTAGGACTGCACAACACATGATAAAGTTGACATAGAGGAACAAAAGAGCCCAGAATAGACCCGCATGAATACAAGGGTTGACTAAGGCCTGGCTGCAGAACAAGGACAAGACATGGCAAAGACAGGCGCTTCTGCCCAGGGGCCGGACGGTGGACTCTGACAGCAGATAAAGGAATCGGGCACAGACTCACACTTCATGGAAGTTACCTTGGTGGGTTTCGGCGTCAGTGTGCAACGCAGAACTACAGAATCCTAGACCACAGCTCAGCAGCAAAGTCTAGGAGACCTCGGGTTCAGAGATGGTTTTGTAGATGCAACCACGGAGGCACAATCCAGCCAGGCAACGA